TCAAACCTCTTCTTCCCTTATTTATCCATCTACTTCATTATTATCAGATGCACCAAACACAGGCTATATATTTATAATATTTGTAAAATATTATAAATTATTTATAATTTTATAGAAATATTTCATTTAAATCTATTTGGGGAAAAAAAAACTTTATGAAGTTCTTTTTTCCAATCATACTTAGCAAAAAAGAAGTCATTGCTAAGAAGACAAGGATGTTCCAACCCTTCTACCCATAAACTTTATAAAGTTACATATCAATCACAAATTTGATAAATTAAAACAAAGATTAGATGACAAATTATAAAAGGATATGAAAATACCTTTTTTTTAACAGATATATCCAATTCTAAGATCTAATCTTTGTCATATCCAATCATACTTAGTCATGCATTATGTTATTTTTTGAGCTTTGCTTAGTTGTTCGGCCACCTGCTTAATAATTTAAGAACTATTTGAAGTCCAAACACAAGAGTACAAAAGGTCTTTTCATTACAACCAATTAGGGTTAGGAAGCATCTATTTTGTCACTAATAGATCGAATACCAACAGAGGTGTTTGCATGGACTCGTCAACCAACAAATAACTGGCATTTCTTTCCTTCAAAATATTATTTTTCCATTTTTTTCTAATATGAATCTTATTATAAAAAAAATTAATCAGTATATTTTTTCCTCTGAAAAATGAGAACAAGATGCATGGTTATATATTAATTAAGAATCAATTAAAGTAAAGTTATTCCTCATTCAATTTGTTAATAGCTTAATAGGCTAAGCTCACAAACTACTTAATTATAAACTTTATTCCTGTGAGGTGTGTGCCTGTATTTAATTTTGCCTTTTATGTTATTAATCTTTTTCATTTTAAAGCACAAATGTAATATTGAGATAAAGAAGTGTGCACATTTTTTCATCTCTTTGCTACTTGTTCAAGAAATATAAAACCGCAAATGAAAAGAGTGCTCCAAAACTAATCATTCAATTTTTTTCTTCATATTTTAGTTTGAATTGATTACACATAAGCACTAATATTTCCAACTTCAATCAATGAAAAAGGAGTCAATCACTTCACTAGAAAATTAAAAGAACTCTAAATTAAATAACGATAACAACCACTTGGTTCATTATTCATGTTCTAGTGTTCTACACCTTTCTTGCTCTCTTGAGCTAGCCTCAATGGAGCATCTAGTATTATATTAGAGATATATTACTCCTATAACAAATTTATATAATAATTTATAATAATAAAAAATTCTCTCCATCTAACCATCCTCTTTAATACTCTCTCTTGTTTTTTTTTTTTTTATTTCTAATTTATAAAAAAAATATTATTGTAAGAATAATATTAGATGAATAAGATATAGCCACTATTGAATAACTTGGTCATATCTATAATCCAGCTATAAGTAGCAGATTAAACAACAGTGCTGAAATAACTGCCGGCAATACAGAATGCTAATATTAATGAAATTTATAATTGATTAATCCAATGTGCTGTATCTTATTTGTGTAAAAATTGGAATCTTACTAATCAAAAGATTCACTTTTTTTAGGTAAATTAATTATAAGAAATTATCAATGAGAAGAGAACAAGTTGGCAAACTATGATTTTGTCCCTTATGCTTATTGTAAAGTTTCAAGTCAAATCTTTCACGCCATTTGCTAGATTAGTTATACAAACAAATAAAACAAAATGGAAACAGTAGACATCATCTAAAAGTCTATGCCCAATTAATTTGTAGGACTCAGCACACACCATCTTCTATTAATTACATTGGTCCATCTGGTTATCTTCTATAAATTTAAAAGATGTTATATAATTTCAGTCAAATCTCTTATATAAATGAAGATTCCAACTTTTTAACTAACTCATAATTATATCGACACTTGATTTAAGCTTCGCCAGAAAATCTCCAATCGAAACTGTTTTTATATCCATATTTCATCTATATATGTAAAAGATCATATTTTTTTGTTCAACATTATTTGCATTAAATTGAATATAAAGATAATCTCATATATTAATGTGGTTGATATCTTTGGATAGGGTTAAAGTAGGAGAGTCATTATATAATGCAAGCTAAAGTAAATGTTTTCCCGTTAATAATTGAAGACAACAAATAATACTAAGTATAAGGGCTACTGCAGGCAGAATTCAAGTTAATAGGATTGGTTATTTGAATATAATATATAAGCAAAATACTATTTTCTAAAAAAACAATTCAGAAAAATCTCACAGACCTACACTAAGATTAGAAAATATCACTAACCTCAATATTAATTTATATGGAATTATATTATTGTATTTTTTTAGTAAAAGATTTGTCCTAAAATTAAATGCAAGTTTGCGAAAGTGATAGATCCATCCCCTTAGAACCGATTTTTCATTGGCTAAAATACGTATTTTTATACGAATTAATTAATGAAGATACCAACAAATTCCAACATGGTTGGTACATATAAATAGTTGGCTCCTTAAATATATTAATAGGAATTCAATTTTTGATTACTTAATTGCACATAAAAAAAGTATAAAACTAAGATAAATCATATAATTATCAATTTTTTTGCATTTTATTATATTCTAACAACTAATAGTATTTCCCCCAATTAAGAAATTAAAAAGAATTACAGTCGTAGTGCTACAAATGCCCTTTCTTTGACTTGTATTGTAAGTGACATAAGCATCATATAAATATGATACGGATAGCCAACTAATGTGTTGCCGTGAGAACTGGGAAGAATGCCTCTTAAAACTGGTTCATTTTACTTACTATTTTTGACTCATCAACTTCAGTTACCATTTGGTGTCAGCTATTTTCTTAAAATGCTTTTACTAAAATTGTAGATATGGTTCATTTTTCACTTAATAATAAAGTTTTTGGTATACAATGTATACAGAGAGATTAGTCAAGTAAAAATACTTAATTATTATAAAAATAAATAAATATAATGAATATAAATTATCAAGTCTCAAGGATAAAAAAAATAAGCACACATAATTATTTAAAGTAATAATATAATCATTAAATAAATTTTAATTTTAGAGTAGTTGAGATAACCATGATGATAATGACATGTTTAGTAGATCCTTTGCCTTGATTTGCATGCAATTTATCTTTCGCACCAAACATATGTTACGGTCTCATAATCAAGGAACCAGAATTTGGTTTCCTAGGCAAAATTTGTGCCGCGAATAATTGACTTTCAATGTGAATTATCTCAGTCAAAACACAAACTCTACTCATGTGGGTGGTGTTGTTGAGCATCTTTGTCTCAATACAATACAATATGTTTAGTTTGAAGAATAATAATCTAACTGAGTACGACAACTAGAACTTGAGCAAAATATCCTTTTAAGCACATGAATTAGAAATTAACTAATGATTTAATTTGTGTTATTAATATATATTATTTAGATAAATGGGCATGTGCATGTGGATCTGCATCATCAATGATCAACGTCCACGCCTCACTTTCAAAGGAAAGAGGACTATTGTTGAGTTTGACTTGAGTTTCGTTGATCCACACAACTTTGTGAAAGACTATTCTTCAACATGAAGAAAACGTAATATTGAAAGGGATTGAACCACTCCATCAAATTATTTTTTATTTTTTACAATTTGTGAATATTAAATTAGAGTGAGACGTGTCAACAAAAAGAAAAGGTGAGATTGGAAATCAAAGACAGTACTCTAGGACAGTGTGTGGCCAATATAATATAATATAAATCTGTTATATTCCCATTGGTGAACCTCCATTTATCACAAGCGATGAAGATTTAAAACAATAATATAATAAGCAAGCATGGTATCTAAATATACAGTTGTGCGAAACATTTTTTTTTCTGTTTAATTTCTATAATGTTAATATTGAAATTTTGTTTAATAAAAAATACGATGAACAAAATTACCAGGATGTTCTAACACAAATGAGATATAGTTTGTTTTATTTAAAATATTTTAGATCATTAAAATATCATCTGTTGTAAACAACAAAAACACATTTAAGTTAAATATCTCATAGGGCATAATTTTACTTTTCATTCAATTAAGAAACGTAATCAATAGGTGATCTTCCTTTTTCACGTTAGAATATTAGAACTCTGTATTTTCAGAATTTCTTGTTATACCTCTTTGAGCATGTCGTATGCCGACAGTGAATGAATATACTTTGTCTTATAGAAAGGAATATATTGGGTCGTGTAACCTTTTTTGTGAACCTCTGGGCTCTTGTCTGAACATTGTGTCTCTTCCTGCGTCTGTATTCAATAATAATTTTATTATATTCATATACACACATGGCTTTAACGCTCTCATACAGGTTGACCTTCAACTCGGCATGTATATATTTTTTCAATCAGATCTATCATGAAAAGCCAGAATCATTTTTTTAAACTATTTATAATTAATTAATTATATATATATATATATATATAGAGAGAGAGAGAGAGAGAGAGAGAGAGAGATGGGTGGGATTATATTTAGATTTGAATATTTTCATATTATTGAGTAATATGTATGAGATATGATTATATTAAAAAGAGAAAAATATAATTTTTATCAATTTTAATTAGTGAGACTTATAATTAATTAAAATGAATATTTAATTAATAAAAATTATATAATTTCCTCTTTAATGTGATTATATTGTATTAAGATGAAAAAAATACAAATTCCATATAGCTTTAGGCGATAAGCATGGCTTTTTGAACTTTGTAACAGTCAACATTAGCAGGTGTCTTCCTAGAAGTACATAACACATCAAATGAGGACCCTACAATTTTGAAAAATACAGAAGCTTTGATACCACTGAGATCCACTTTATCAATCAGTCAAATCAATTCACATTTTGAAGACATGAAAATGTAATTAATTACCATGCCATTGCCAGTTTTTCTTGTTTATGATTAGGTGAGGGTATGCTACCACCTTCTTATAATTCCCTCTATATATTAGAGTGTCTCATCAACACAGTTTCTCAAGACACTTCAGCCACTCACATCCTATAGCTTCACCACAAAAAATGGCACTTTCTCCTACTCGTTCTTATTCTTTTTCTTTATCATCATCATCTATTGTTGCACTAGGAGTGTTCCTACTTCTTGTAGGAACCTCTTCAGCTCAACTCTCTGAAAACTTTTATTCTAAGAAATGTCCAAAGGTTTTTGGCACTGTGAAATCTGTTGTTAAATCTGCTGTGGCCAAAGAACCTCGCATGGGAGCATCTATTCTTCGCCTCTTTTTTCATGATTGCTTTGTTGATGTAATTTAATCTAACCTTTGATCCTTCCTATCTACAGTAGCTTCTGATTTTAACTTCTCATCTAGATTAGCATTTTTGCATGTCGTATGACTTTTTATTATTCATGATGAAGTAAATTCATTATCTCCACTATTGGGCTATAGCTCATATTATATACCATTTTACCAAACTTCACTTAGGCTTTCAAAAACCCATCTCATCTTCAAAGACATATTCTTTACTTCAACAATTTACATGTATCTCGATTTGGATTAGGATACCTGTTAAAAATTTAAGAAGATACTTGAACGTTTAAAAAGAGAAAAATTTTCAGACATTATCCATATATTTTTCAAAAATCATAATCTAGCTCTCATTTTTTTTTTCATATAGTATTTGATTTTGATTTTAATTCCTTTAAATAACACAATTTTTTATTTAATCTTTTAAAATATTATAAAAATTTTATTTGATCACTCATGAACTAGACAGTTAGCAAATAAAAGATTAGATGAGGGAAAAAAATGAAAGAATTAGATTATATATCTTTTTAAAAATAAAGAATTAATTCAAAATCGTAATATTAAAAACAAAAACATTGTTAACCCTTTGTTTTATCATGTAGTTCTCCTCCTAGACTTTTGGAAAATGTCGTGCTTTTTTTTCATTGCGTAGCTTTTCAAATAATTTGGAACAAAGATGGTTTGACAATACGGACAACACATTATTGAAAAAAAAAAAAAAAAAACTTTTACATCGGAAGAGCTTTTACATCAGTTTTGTATTTCATATAAATACAAGCCATGTAAAAAGTTTAAAACTTTCTACATTAATAATAAAAAATTGATATAGAAACATATCAGATCTTTTATAATTGATTAAAAAAATTTGTAAAAATTTTAAAAATATTGTTGCATCTTTTTCTACTTTATTTCACAAAAAATATATATAAAATTTTGTTATAAAAAATATTTTTTATACTAGTAAAAGAAAAATAAATAAATATATTAAGTGTTATAATGATTAAAATAATAATATAATGTGTACAAATTAAAGTTGAAATTTTTCTTATTGAATGATGCAAGTATGTATGCCCCACTCCTTTGTTTTGCCGTGTCATTGCATCACGTTGTATAGTGCATTGATTTGACAAAAAAAAAAAAAAAAACCCAATTTGGTTTCTTCTATTAATGTACTTTATAAAAAAAATGTTCCAACAAAATCAAATTTTTTAAAAAAATGTTTATCATTTATCATACAAGTACACGTATTTTTCTCATATACAATTTTTTTTGTTATTTTAAATGAGAACTCATTTGAGAAAGTAAATTCACATAAATTTATATTTTATTAGTTATAGACATCACTTATATTTAAACTTATAATTTTTTTCCATAAAAACTAAAACTTTCAGTTTAAGATTATCAAACACTATTCCTCAATAACATATCTACATTGAAAAATAATAATAAACAATAACAACTTTTTCCTATGAATATATGCAATCATTTTGCCCTTAACTAGAAATGCATCATTCAAAGTAATTTTTGCTTTGAACATGGACCTCACTTGTTGCTTGATGGTGCATGGATTTTAACAGGGTTGTGATGGGTCATTACTACTTGATGACACTCCATCCTTTAGGGGAGAGAAGACTGCAGCTCCCAACAACAATTCTGTGAGAGGTTTCGAAGTAATTGATGCTATCAAGACTAAGGTGGAGGCAATATGCCCCTCTGTTGTCTCATGTGCTGATATCTTGGCCATTGCTTCTCGTGACTCTGTTCAGCTTGTGAGTTCAAAACCTTAATTAGTTTTAGCAACTTTTAATAATTGACACTACTAAAAAATCCATATATACCTTGTCCTTATCATTATAGATTGAAGACTTAAAACTGATCTGATGAACTAATATCAATATTTTCTTATACTAATAGTATGTTATATTAATTTTTATACTAATAAATCATATATATTAATATAATGCCTCATATAATTAACATAAATTTATAATATTTATATTAATAATTTTAAGATTTTATTAATAACTTTGGTTAATATTTTTTATAATTTAATTTGTGAGAAAAATATATTTTAACATAGAATATGAATATTTTTTGTAGTGTGATTTCTGAACAAAGATGGTAATTAGTTGTTTCTGAAAATTAAGGCATTCAAAATATTTTATTTGTTATGATGGTTTATTTTGTTGCATATGGTGCAGCTTGGAGGGCCATTTTGGAAAGTAAAACTTGGAAGAAGGGATTCTAGAACAGCCAACTTCACAGCTGCTAACACTGGTGTTATCCCACCTCCCACATCTAACCTCAGCAACCTTATCTCAACATTTCAAGCTCAAGGGCTTTCTGCTAATGACATGGTTGCCTTATCTGGTATTTCTATTTTTCTTCTCTCTCTTTCTGTAATGCCCAACTTCTCCCTTCCATTATGGGAACAATTAGTGTTTTTGTCTGTGTTTAGGTGACACATTTTAATGATTATTTTGTACGCAACAGTGGTTTTTATCTAATAAAATTCATGAGGTGGACCAGGATATGTATGTGACATTCAAACTACCACGTGCATTGGATTAAGTCCTTCAATTTTTCTAAGCTTAAAAGTCATGTGTCATTCCATAATAACACATGAAAGGCATGTTTAAATTTAACTGATAATCATCCATAATATTTCATTGTCCGGGCAAATAAGTGAAACTAATAATTTAGTACTCACTACCATTCATGTTTTGTACCTATATAACCAGAAAATGTAATAATTAACAAGTAATTTTATATATCAAATAAAATTGCAGTTATATCATAATTTAATTTAGAATTAGAAAACCTCAAATCTGTACAAAAAGGGAATAAAATTCGTAAAAAGAAAAAATTGTTATTGAGAGAATTTCATGTGCCATAAATTTATAAATTAATTATTAAATTCATAAATACTCAAACAGTGTCAATATTCATTTAAACCTCCCATCCTCTTTTTTTTTCCTTTTTTTTCTCTTTCTATCACATCATTTCACTTGTTACATTTATCATTTTTCTTTCTTCTATTTCTTTCTCACACTTTCATATATAGGTGTCTACAAAACACTTTTCTTTGTAGATTAATAAAAGTAAATAAATAATTATTAATTTGACTAATATTTCGTTGAAATAGAGTCCTAACAATAGGAAATCAATTATTATAATTTAGTATGTGCAACCATTGTGTATAGACTGTAGAGTTAGTTAAATCCCTTATAAACATTATATTGTATATAGGAATATTAAATGATGCTATATATTTTTTATGTTTTATGATTGGTTTCACACTTTCAGGGTCTCACACAATTGGGAAAGCAAGGTGTACTAGTTTCAGAAATCGCATATACAATGAAAGCAACATTGACAATTCATTTGCTAAGGCTAGGCAGAGAAAGTGTCCAAGGACTAGTGGTTCAGGAGACAACAATCTTGCAGTTCTAGACTTTAGAACTCCTGATCATTTTGACAACAATTACTACAAAAACCTCATCATCAAAAGGGGACTCCTCCATTCTGATCAAGTGCTTTTCAATGGTGGATCTACTGATTCACTTGTTAGAACTTACAGTAAGAATAATAAGGCCTTTGATTCTGACTTTGTTAAAGCAATGATTAAGATGGGAAACAACAAACCCTTAACTGGGTCACAAGGAGAGATTAGGAAGAACTGCAGGAAAGTGAATTAAGACTCATATTATCTTATTTGTTGTAAACTTTGTGCCCCCAAAAGTGGGAAAGTTGTTTGGTAAGTTGAGGTGTTTTATGTCATTGGAAAAATTTGAGTTGTTTGTTCTCAGTTCAATTTAAATTGTACTGATGTAACTTTATCATATAATTATTATGTAATAAATTATAAGGCATTTTGCTTTTTGTAGCAATTGGAATGCACCTTGGTTTGCATTAGCAGCTGTGTACTTTTATTTACATAAATTAACAATTCATTTAATAGTTTGGTTAGTGTAAATAAAGGCCTTTTATTTACATTCTTAAAAGAATAATTACTTCAATCAATAAACTTGCTAATTTACACACATGAGGCATACTCTCCAGCATATGTCTTTAACTTTCAACTATGAACAAAAAAGAAGTGTCTATATTGTAAATATTGGATCGAATTTGACATGGGCACAAAACACATTATTTTTTATAAATCTAAGGATGACTTAATTAATCCAAGCAATTATCATGAGTTACTAAAATTTATTTTATATAATTTTTTACACTTTACTCTTAGGTCACAATATTTTTAATTTATTTTAAATAACTTAATCAACTTGTTACTAAAATAATAATCTTATACCAACCTCATAACTTACCCTATTATTATTCATCTCTTTTCCAAATTAATATACTTTACCTACCAGTTGTCATGAAATTTAAAAAAAAGAAAGACAAAATAAAATTGAATAATGATTAAAAAATACCGTGATGTTAGATTGCTCTCCAACATAGTTCATTAACTGTTTTTTGTCTAACTCAACCACTTGCCTTTCAAGACCAACCAACATAGAGACATCCTAAGATACAATTAGAAAATTATTTAGTTTATTTAAATAGAAAAATTTGTTTTTGAAGCCATTAAATTGTTTGGTTAAAATTTGGTATTTAACCATCACTCACTAGTTAACAGTGTTTTAAAAATTGAATAAAACTAACGAACAAAATATTCGTCTCCATTACGTGATTGACCTGACTTGATTTAAATCAAATTAAATATTAATTTAATCAAATCATAAACATACACAGGGGTCTAGTGAATATGACTTGTACTAATTAGTTAGATTAAATTCTACTTGTAAGATTGTGTGACGTGTATTGTTTTTAGTGTATGATGCATCGTTTATAACAAAGAAAAAACATCACACCAGAATTTGATGAAACTGAAAGAGAGAAGACTACTGATCTGTATAGTTCGGTGATCCTTTCAAAAAGCTCTCATTGTACAATTCAATTTCTAAAATCTATTGATTAGTGCATCCACAGATAACCTAGTATATTGATATAGACAAATAGAAGTGTCTTTTTCAAAATGGGCTAAAGAGGATAATTAATTGTGAATTTCAATACATGGTTTAATTAAGTTTTTATTGATTTTTTTTATATGAAGATTTATGTCATAAATTTTACTGTAAAATTTATTGAGATAAATTAAAAATAATTTATTTTGATAAACTATACTAAAAAATTATTGAAATAAATTATTCAAAACTATTAAAAGAATTATTTCCATAAGTTGTTCATAAAGTCTATTAAATATATCCTAAATTAAATTAAAACTTTTAGCTTTAAATAAAAGTCCTTTTAAAAATTCGATTAAAATACGAGTATTGTTATGGGTTATTCGATCTTTTTTTTTATCATGCCATGTAGTTTTTCTTGTATTAAGTATTTCATTTTTTTATTTTTAATTGTTAATTTTTTAAAATAATATTCGTTTTAATTTAATTTCAGTTAATGTTTAAACTTTGATATATTATATTAAATTGAAGATATCATTATATTTTATAAACAAAATTTTAAGATTATTATAATTTTAATCAATATTACTTTAAATTTATTTTTAAAATTTTGAGATACCATGTAATAAAGATTAAAAAAAATCTATGTAAAAAACAACCTTATTTTAATTTTTGAAATTTAACAATATTTTTTTAATTTAATCATATTTAATATATTAAAATATGCATTGTTAACAATTAAAATATTTATTTTTAAAAATTTATAAAATTTATCAAATTAAAAAATAATGATATAATATACTTTTTATTTTAAAAAATTATTTTAATTTAATTACTCTCGTGCAAGTCATGTCATCCTTTCACTCTTCATGAAGACGTGTCTTTCTTATATTATGACATGTATCATAAATTTACAAATTAAAGAAAAATTCTACTTTTCATAATTTCATTCACCAATAATTAAATTTCTTGGATCACCACTAAATATAATAAAACATTTGTAAATAATCATTAAAATAAAATTTGAAATTTTCTATGTTTAAATTGTATTTAATATCAGTTAAATAATGATTTATCGTTAAATTAATTTTATATAATATTTTTCAATTCATTTTTTATAAATGCATTGGTGCACGAACACTAACTGATTATTAGACAAACTATTTTTATATTTTAACATGAACACCAATACTATAAAGCAATTGAATTATCCTGGGGAAAATGAAAAATGGGACGGCAAGAACTTTATCTAAAGAGGGTATCATATAATCATGTTGTCTTCATGATGCTTGCGATGCCTGTTTTAAAATCATCCACGCATGAACATAACACCTAGATCCGTATCTCAATGAAAGGGGCAGTAAGGGGTCACCAAATAAATCACATCATTTTATTTGTCCACAACCATCATGCCCTAGCACAGCAACAAAAGCTAGACATTCTTTTGTTAAAACAGAAGCTAGACTTACATGTGTAATTTTTCTTACATCACAAAGGTTTCTCACTTGGAGGACACAATCAATCCTCCACAAATATTTTTCTTCTTTCCCTTTACATGCAAGTGAAAACAATACAAAACACCTTTACACACATTATTTGCACCCTGTAATGTATAAATGGGAGAGATTCTATAGGAGTTAATTCAAAACCTTTGGATACCACAAGAGGTAGGGAATTCAAAATCAGCCCCTCCCACCATTCCCATGTCTTTGACTTCTAAATTGATTAAGGAGCGTCTGGGCCTAAGCATGGAAGAAAATTAATTACTTTGCAAAAACAGAAGGGGATACAAAGCAATTAAATTATGAAACTATAAAGAAAGAACCATACCTTTTCTTTGGCCCTTGGGGTGCCTGACTGTGATAATGCTACTAATGGTGGGACAGCTCCTTGTTGGAGCACCATGCTTAAAAATCTGTTACTGTGCAAGCAAAGATGCAGAAGAGCTGCTGCTGCATTTTCCTTTCCTCTGGCAGAACCCAACTCGACAACCTCAACCAAAACAGGAATCCCACCTTCCTGACCAATTGCATTTCTTCCTTCTGGAATTGTGGCAAGATTTGCTAAGACAGCCACTGCTTTGTCAACCATTCCAGCTGCCGGATCCATTAACTCCACAAGGTGCTTCACAGCACCAGCTTGCACAATCCGACCCTTATTTTCATGATATATTGACAAATTAAATAAAGCAGTAGCAGCATCTTTCTTTCCCCTAGGAGTTCCATTTCCTAATAAATCCACCAATGGTCTAATTGCCCCTGACCTCCCTATGATAATCTTGTTTTCCTCAATCACAGATAAGCTGAAAAGAGTGGCAGCTGAATTCTCCTTGGCTTCTGGGCTCCCAGTCTCAAGCACATGAATCAGAGGATCAATTGCACCAGCATTTGCAATTGCACTTTTGTTATTATCGTTGATTGATAAGTTGAGAAGTGCAGTAACAGCATTTTCTTGGATCCTAATATCTGTTGATCGAAGTAAATCAACTAATAAGACAATGGCTCCACAGTTTGCAATTGCAATCCGATTATCCATATTGTGCTTAGCAAGAAGGCGGAGTTCTGCTGTAGCCTCTCTCTGAGTATCAAGATCAGAGCTCCTCAAGCCCTCAACCAAATTCCGAACCTGGTTTTCAATACCAGAAAGATCAGGTCTTGTTTCAATGGCAGGAGAAGATGCTATCCTAGGAACAAGCCTCTCTGATGGCCTCCTCCATATGGCATGGTTTCGGGACCTTGTCTCCATCAATCGGGGTGGGAACTCATGTTCTCTATGCATAGATGGTATGGCAGCAGCACCAGCAGTCTCTGGCCCTGGATTTAATTCACCAGAAGCATCTCTACTGTGGCCTGGACTTGTTGACAGCTGAGGAACATTGTCATCATCACCTTGTGTTTCTTGAGGAAAATTAGCAGTGCAAAGTGCACTGGAATCAGAAACAGCTCTATTATGGGTTTGAGATTGTACAGAGCTAATGGCACTGGACGATTCCTTTCTAGGTGGTGACATTGATGGTTGGCCAACTGAATCCACACTGCTTTCATCTGAGCTAGCAGACCTATCGTCCAAACCTGCAGGTGACATTCTTACAGGATCTGTATATTGCCCATTAACCATAACACTTAAAGAACCTTCTGAAGTTGAACGGGGATGCAATGGTGAGGATCCCTCTCTCTGAATTCCACCAGACGTTATGTTATTACCTGGTGAACTAAAAGAGCGAGACCGAGCTGACTCAGGTGAGGATGGCTGGTTGCTCCTGGAATGAGCAAAAACAGGAGATTCTCTGGTTGTACCAGATTCCATATACCCATGAAGGACAGATGCTTGATTTATATTTGTGGATTTGGCGGGATCAACCAGCTGTACATTGTTTGTTTCACACCAATTAGCAATTAGTGCTTTTACAGTATAGTTAGGTATTAAATTTGTGTGAGCCAGAGTCTGACGTGTCTTTGGACAAACAGTAAGCCCAAGATCAATCCAGTTCTTGATAAAAGTCCGCTCATATGTTTGCCCTGACGCCACAATCACAGGATCAGTCATCAACTCCAACGAAAGAGGACAACAAAAATCAGCAGGTATTGGAACTGGGCTGGAACTCTGGGCTTGCTTAAGCATAACAAGACGCTCATGCATACGAGTTACAACAGCAATCATTTGATCAATGTATTCAGCTTCTGCAGTCTTTTCAGTTTGTTCAGCATTCTCCTTCAACCTTTCAAGAGCCACAGCCTCAATTAGAACCTCCTGATTAGACCTTAGGCCCAGGCTATCAGCAATTTTTGCCAGGACCTCTGAATTGGGTCCTACATTTTCCATTTGCTCTGTAATAGCTTCCTTAATGACTGATGAGGTCTCTTCATGTCCCAAAAGCTTAAGCTTTTGAGCACAGAGCTGCAATTTGTACATTGATATTATACACCCTAATTTTTTTTTCCTAAAATGAACATACAAATCCAACTAAATGAGGAATCTTAAATTTTCTTGATAAGTAGAATATTTTACCTGTAAATGTTCAGAACTCAATTCATCGGGGAGACATTGCTGAGAAGACTTCAGCTGCTGGAAAATATTAAGCCCTGAAGTGCGAATCCTTGATATTAGGGGTTCAACTTGCATAACCTAGTCAAGAAAGTGGTAGTAAGAACTCGACAGGCAATCAACATACAAGAATAAAACTAGGCACAACAAAATAATTACTATACATTCTAATTCTATATCTGGTGGCAACCCAACTCAAGCAAAGATACTTGCATTCTATGCACTTTTAGCCTAATCACATCAGACAAAAGTGGATAAAGAAAGAAACAGCTAGCTTTTAGGAAGGATTTTGCCTAGCTATCAATATGCAATCCAAAGACTCAGAACACTTATTGTCACCTTAAGAAATCCATATATAACTATTAATAGTCCAGGCCTAACTCGCTCTTAAAGGTTAACTCAAAGGAAGAGGATTGCCCAAGTTTTTTAAGGACTATCATGGCCTTATTCCTAAAAAGTGTGGAACATCTTAACACACAAACACACACCCTCATGTTTAAGATTGGACATTTAGTAGTATTGGTACACCTACAAGTGACTTAACATTAAAAACAGAAAGGCTTTGATACCATAATAGAAAATTAGGCCTGATTTACTTCTAAAAATTAGGTTAACGGAAGAAGATTGTTCAAGTCTTGTAAGGAGTATCTTGACCTTATTCCTAGTCAATATGGGCATCTCAACCATAACTATCTTAGAAAATAACCCACCAAGAATCAACATGGTTAATTCCATGCTGTCAACTCAAATCTGATCTGACTCCAAGTCCCAACCATCACCAAGACCAAATTGTCTTCTCACTCTGACTAAAAAGGAAATCTTCTAAAGTAACCAAAACTATGACATATGAAATCGTCTTTCAATAATAAGGTGGTTCATAGTTCACCCTATCATTTAAAAGGTGAAGCATATGCATCATCAGATAATAAGAACTGTCTACAACAAGGTCCATACTCCATATACAATGGATAAGGATTTCATATTTCACGGTTTGGCAACCTACTGATTTACTGATTCATATCATATGATGAATCACAAATGGCTTAGAATCATTCAATATGTCATGAAGCAGTTCATTCCATATCATAAATACAACATGATTCAATGATTCTTTTCTCTTTCTTTTCTGCTTTTTTTTTTTCACCAGTTCATATCAGAGAAATTGAGAAGTTAAGAAAAGAAAGCTTAAAGTGTTTAAAATGAGCTGAAGAAGCACTGATAATGCACCCTATTTGATTATTTCATTGCTCTATTGTCATCTAAAATAGAGGCTTCCTACATTCACTTACTCACTCAACGCACAACTTATTTCGCCATATCATTGCTATGTTTTCATTCTGATTCATGACTTGTCATATTGTTTTGAAAGAATTATGGTTAAGTTACTTTGTCAATTCCTAGTTCAAAATTATTACATCTAGCACTATACATCATTTATATAATATATTTCAATCTATTTTTCGTTGTGTCTTGTGATATTATCATTCAATACAAATAATGGTTCACAATTCAAAATTAATATTTTGATTCACAATTTGAGTTGTCATTCAATGACCATTAAGTAATAGATAATAAATTTGATCTATCAGTCAAATTCGGAAAAGGAAATACATCTTGCCAAACTACATATTATACTTCATATTAAATCAGACAATTATGAATGATGATCATGTTGAAAACTATACAAATATGTCAACTAATTTTAGTAAGTCACAATCTAAAAATCTTGAGCTTCTGTAGATGTGAAAAATAATGACAGATACGCATTTTCAAAGAGAACAGAACTACTGATTTTTCGAGACAATATCTTAGAAAGAATGATGCAGGATCATGACCAAAACAAAAGAAAGATGATGAAATAATAGAATACAAACTCATTTAATAAAAAAAAACACTCCATTTTGAATGCAACAAGCAAGCTACCATGATTTCACATCCACCACCACTATCGTATCTTCTCCATTTACCACTAAATAGCATTACCAAACCATCATGTCTTTCAAATAATTAGGGTCCAGAACCTTTGATTCTCCAAAAGTAAAACCTCCAACTCTTATTATTAAAAACAAATGAACATGGAAAAACAATTAGAATATGGGTGCACATCATCAAACACAAGGCAAAGCATTGAGTGAGCAGAGAATGAAACACTATGACATAATGTCAAAAGAAGAAGCCCGAGAAAGATGATTAAAAGGTAGTACAGGCCAAACAGAAACAGAAAATGACAAAATATACCAAAGCTATCATAACTGTGAACAGAAGAGAATAACATGATTTCCTCACCAACCACAAAACAAAATACTGCAGATATATTTATCCTAAAATTGAATCTGCATATACAGTAATGACAAGGACAACCATACCATAATTGAAGCTCAGGTCATTTTAAATTAAAGTAACAAGTACAACTAAGATGAATTTGTCCTCTGCATCTACAAACTAAAATTTAAGATTTTATGAGACTTACAAAGTACACTTTGCTAGACAATAGGTGCCAGTTCTCAACATGATCCTTTAATTCATCAACAGCATGACCCATTTCTTCCAATATCTTATTAAGCACTTCATCAGAAGCTAACTCAGAATTAACAATCGCATCAATAATTGGCTTCAATAACTTAAGTATCTCCTCTGCCTTGCAGTAATACTTTGAGACAGGTTCAGTGTTCATGTTTCCAGAAAATGATATATGCAAAAATGAGGATATCCCATCAACAATCATTTTTAACAATGATATCTCCATAACACCTGCATATAATAATAATAATAATAAAATAAATAAAAATCAAATTAATATCAGCATGTAGATTTAAAGCTCGTTTAATTTCTACAAAGCAAATTAAGTACAGCAGCATAAGCTAGAAATTCTAACTATCACCAAAAACAAAAAGGTCAAGGTATGAACTTCAGGTACAATACACAGCCAAAATATAATACATGTAAATAATAAATAGATTAGACCCTCCTCAAACTCTCCACTGCATGCATGTGGGAAAAAAAACACCATCTCATAATTCAGTCAATTAATAAAGGACTCCTAACAAGCTATGTTCTACATTAAAAAGGCACCCAGAGAGAAAGAAGGCTTGTGCAATGCAAACACAAAAAGTTAATTGGAATAGAAGGGTGATGGGCATGAAAAGGCACAGAAGGCCAACCATGAAAGACAATGGCTTCTTGTTTGGATCTGATAACAGTTTCATTAAAAAGTCAAGCATTTGTTCAGTCTCACACAGATCAAAAATCATCACTAAAATACAGTTCAATTGAACACTACACATCCACTGATATACTCTAAGCCAACATCCTATTCTCATAATGAACCCAATACACACACAAATACATGGGTCAAAGCATTAACAAGAATATTTCTAACAGAATATCTTTCACTATTCTTGAAAAGATAGTTCACTAATTGATTGAGGAATAAGTAATTCGACTCATTCATATCCCAATCATGAATGTTTGGAATCCATATTATGCAAGGAGACATGGCCTTTTTTAATTCAAATTGAAAGGTGATGTGAATAAGCCTATTTGCAACATCATATCCATAGTTAAAGCTCCACCATGAGGTGTTGTCGTATCATAATATTTCCCACTTATCAGTTGTTTACATGTTTAAAAGAATTATTTTCTTAAATAATAAATAAGTTAGCCCATTTAATCTACCACCCACTATGATTAGTGTTGACATTGAGAAACTGTTTATCAAGCATTCAACCCAATCCAGCTGACATGAGGCTAACAATGACACATCCAGCTGAACCAGGTCCACCAATTTGATAGGTATATACATAGTCGCAACTTACTCTAATATGTCACAAATAAATGATAACAAAAAGAAACAAAGATACTACCTTCTTACATGTCATGTGTAAATGATAAAAGGAAAAGTGCAGTAATATGAGTTGTGGGAAGCCTAAGGCAAAAGGCTCCCAACTTCCACTATTTTATGATTTGGGAGAGGTGAGACATTAGCAGCCTCCCTCTAGAGGTTGTTTTTGTGACTAAAACTCATGACCTCCAAGTCACAACACAACAATTGAAGATGTGAACAATTGTATGATAGAAAACATTTATTAGGAAACCCAACAGTGGTTGGCTACAGTGGGAATGGACAATGACCCCAAGCAAACTTTATCTGCAAAGGCAAGGATTCAAAACCAAGGTTCAGCACTCAAAGAAGACTTTACCTAATCTCCCCTCCCAGCCCAAGGGTTAGTCCGCTTCGTTTGTGGGGATATCGAGTCAAAGATTAAAAAATAGTTTACGTTGTTACAAGTTAAAAGGATTATTTTGGACAAAGTGTAAGATTAGTGGGATGAAGAACGGAAATATTTAAACCTTGTTCCCGGGTAACCCTTTAAGTATAAATCAAATTTACTAGCTGCTCAAATCTGTTCATCAATTTTCTTCAGTAGATAGCAGGATTTGAACTTTAGACTCATCCGAAGCTTCTTCCTATAGATCCTATTTTTAGTTCCCAATTCTTCTCCAAGTAGTTACTACTTCTTGCTTTATTCCGTTTGCAAGTTCAAGGCAAAGATATTGTGAGATTAGCTTAGTCAATAACTGTTCTTGTTTGTTCTTTGTTTTATCTTCTCCCTTTTTTCTAATGTGTCTTATCCTCTGTTCTTTTACTTATTTATTTCTCTCATCCAATAATGTTCTTTCATTCAAAAAGAAACAAATATATTTACTAAGCTACTAAATAAAGCTTGAGAGAGGCCAAAGAGCATACAGAGTATTATTTAATGAACATGAAATATGCAGAGGGTAAGAACTTATCTCTTTTATGGGATTTTTGGAGACCCTAGCTTGAAATGTAGATTTTCTTTCTCTTATAAAACAGGCCTATATTAGTGGGTAAGTTTTGGCTTGGAACATATCAATTGGATGAATGGTGCTTGATTGAGCTACGTTTTTGGAATGGCACAACATGCACCTGAATCTCCCAAGTCCCAATTGCTAATTAAATGATATCTTTATATAAAAAAGGTCTGATAGGAGTGAAAAGTAGAAAATTTAGATGGGAGTGGTATACATGCACAAAAAGTATTAAAAAATTAAAGGCAGATTTCATCTATTTGAGGGGGATTGCTTAAATTAATAATATACGCAACAATTAAGGAAAAAAATTGTTCACAGGGGTGGTCCCCCCCCCCCCAAAAAAAAAAAAAAAAAAAACACCCACAAGATCTTCCCCCAGGTCAGACCGCAATCAAAAAGTCCTTTGGTTTCATAGTCAGCCTCTACATCCAGTATCAATTTTTTTCTAATCAATTTGGATGATCTATTTTGATTGCATAGTGAACCCATTTAGGACTACTGCTTCTATTATAAGGATTTCTGCAAAAATAAAAACTCTGATAAAAGACTTTCTGCAATTTATTGAATGAGGGGATGTCCCTTCATAGCCTATAGTAAAAGGTAACAATGCTGAAAGGCATCCTTCTCTTCAATTAAGAACATATTTGTTAAGATGAGAAAAAACAAGAAGGCATAAAAAAATTATGTGTATTTCAACTATATCACAAGATGTATATTTATATTACTAATGGTAATAATAATAATAATCAATTACAAAATTAAAGACAAATATACAGTTATCTAATTACTATAATTACATGGATACTATTTCCTTAAATAACATATTTACATATATTTCACACTCACCTCAAGCTGAAACATATAAATCATATACACCGAACTTGTCACATGTGTACTTAATACGAGAACACCTTATAGATTTTGTGAATACATCTACCAGTTAATCATTTGATATTATAAAATTAGGATCTAACTCACTCTCAAAAGCAAGCTCATAAGAAAATGACTACCCTAGCCCTTATAAAGAGTATTTTGACTCTATTCTTAACCAATGTAGAATATCTTAACACACCCATTTCACGTCCAGGACTAGACATCTAGTGCATGAAATTTACAAAACTGGACATCTGCACGAGTGACCCAATAGGACTGGACATCTGTGGACAGTCTAACATTCAAACTAAATAGGCTTTGATACCATATTAAGATGAGAGAAAAAGATAAGACATAAACAGAATTCTATGAATTTCAATTACACCACGAGATGTATATTTATATTAATAATGGTAATAATAATCAACTATAAAATTAAAGACAAATATACAATTACCTAATTACTATAATTATATGGATATTATTTTCCTAAATAACATATTTACATATATTTAACAATATCTATCAAAAGTCATGCTTCATGTTAATGTTTTTTCCTAACTGAATGTAAATGAGCAATGACCTAATTGCAGTCAAGGAAACCCGAGGTACAGTCAATGAAACCGTTTAGGTGGTGTCTGTTCCGTCGTAAAGAATAGTATATAATACAGAGTGCAAGGAAATGATGAGACCTGATGGTACAAGGGACCAATAACCCTCTATATTATCCAATGTTTTACACGGTATTGTATAAGCTACCTGATATAACCTTAAGACATAAATGTTTTAGGATTGAGTATGACCTACTTACGCAATTAATTGTCAATGTAAGACTTCTTATGTGTTAAAAAGGAAAAGAAAAGAAAAAGAGCATAGCAAAAAATGAACTAATCAAACGACGATAAAAATAGGAATACGACAAACTTTTAGTCACTATCAATAGAACGTTACAATCAGGATGTTTCAAAGAAAAGGAAAGCCTACTACCAAATGCCAGGCTAATAACAGGCCTGATATGCACATCATGCTACTAAATCAATCCCATCAAGCCACAAAGACAGGCACAGATGCATGTGTTCAACATGCAAGACTGTGATTCCAAAGTTTCAGTTGACATAGAGAAAAGTGCACTCCTAAATGTCAGTATGAGAAAAGAGGAGACCCTCCACTTGAAGTCTCACACCGAACAAAATAGGTGACTAACACTCATGCATCACATTTCCTACCTGATCTTACAACGTTACTATTGAGAAAAGGCATCACACTGCCATGCAAACACACCAAGCATCATTATCACACAACAACTTTTAACTTATAAATATCCATTCCTTAATTCACCAAACAACGCATTGGATATCACATCTGTCTACCTAGAACTCAAAATGCCAAATGAGTCAACCTAAAGCAGTCTATGCTCCAGTCCACACACCCAAAATAAAATTTAATTTAATTAAAAACAAAACTCATCTTAGTCAAATCAAGTTGAGTTTATCAATTCAAACTCAACTAAAGTTAAGTTTAGTCCACATGACTTGCAATCATTTTTCTCAAAATAACCGAAACTCATCGATCCAAAAACAGTCACTTGGAGTTGATCTAGCTCAACACACAAATTGAACTCAGTTCATAGCACAACAAGAATCACAACTTCCCTAATGCATAATTAGCAACTATATTTCAAACATGGTTGTTTCTTCTTCCCACCTATTAAAACTACAAACCACAGTTGCAAAGTCTCACAAGCAAATTTTCACGCTACGGTCAAAGTTAAAATTCGAGAAAAAAATTAATCAAACATGGAATTTACCGATGGAGCAAAACCTAGTCCGGCTGTTTCCAGGACTCTGTTCGATTCGTCAAGTTGTTGAAGGTTGAAACAACGAGCTGAAGAAAACGAAGCAAAAGCGTATTTTCTTCTTCTTCTTTTTGCTCTGGTTCTTCTTCCTTTGTACAGTTTAGTCGCCGGAAAGTGAGAGTGACCACCGCCGGCAAGGGAGCGTCACGGCTTCGTTGTCTGGCCGGCGACGGTGGCGATCCACCAGAGGAAATGGGACGGGTAATTAGGGCAAGTTCTTCAAAGAATTGGGAAATTTCGGAGACTCCGTTTTCTGTACGTGTTTTTTATTTTTTATTTATTTTTTCTTAAATATTAATTTCTCTTTGGATGAACTCTTAAATTGATTATTCAATTAGGACTAATGAACTCAATCTAATCTCTCTCTCTCTCTCTCTCTCTCTCCCTCTCTCTCTCCTTTGATTTCATGTGTAGTATAAATATGCTGTTTCATTTCTTTGGCAACTAAACAAACTTTTTTAAGTGTATATTTAACATGTGTTAAAAAAATTATAAAAATATACATATAAGTCAGAATAAAAACGTGTATATAGGTAAATATTTCTAAATTTGAGCTTAAATAGTTTTACTCTTTTAAATTTAATTTGACATTAAAATTATAATATATATTTAAATATATTGATAAGATTATAATAAAATTCAGTATGCTTTTTTATTTTTAATTTAATATAAAATTTAGAATTTATCAAATTAGTTTAAATACAAATTTTAAAAAATCAATTTAAAAATTATCAAACATTAATTAATTAATTTATAAATCGTACATGTAAATATTTAAAATAAAAAAAGTTTTATTCAACTTAAAAATAAAACTTTTTATCATTAGTATAATTTATTATTGAATACATGAATTCACTAAGAAATGTTTTAATTATAAATTAGTACTAATAAATATATCTGTGCATCGCACAAATTTGAATAAATATATTTATATTTTTATTAGTTAATTTAATTTTAAAATAAATCATATATAAAAAAATAAATATTAAAGTTAAACTTAATTTATATATGAATTTAAAAATTCTAAATCTTAATAATAAATTTATTATAAATTAATAAATATATTTTTATGTTATACAAATTTATTTATATTTTTTATGAAATTAATTTTTTAAAATAAATCAAAATTATAATTTAAATACAAAAATATATAATAATAAAATTTTATTATATTAAATAATATCAAATATAATTACATTAAAATATAATAAATATATTTTTATATATAAATTTTTTCATATATTTTTATCCTTTTTAATAATAAAAATTATTATTCTTTTAGTTGATGTAAATATAAAAAATAATTTTTTAAAAATAAATTAAAGAGAATATGAAAATAAAAAAAAAAACTGGAAACTTTTTAATTATTTTTAAATATAAATAATAGAAATCTATTATATTATTATTATTATTATTAAATATTTTTAAATGAAAATAAAAAAATATATACTAATGAATAGAAATATAACAAAAAATATTTTTCAATACACAATGAGATTTAGTATTATACTTAAGTAAGATTCAATGGAATGATGTCTAATTTTTATTTCTCAATAATTAAAATAAATATTAACAAAAATTTATTTGATAAACTATATATAAAATTATGAAATAATAATTTTAAAATGTTATATTTAAATTTGACTTATAATAAGTAAATATATACTAATAATTAATAATTTTAATTTAAAATATTTTCTTAACTTCTACATTAGCATTAATTTTAAGAATATGATATTATAAATAATTATATCAATAAAAAAAATTTATTTATCCTACTTCATATTTTATGTATAATTTAGTTTATAATTGATAAATGAATCGTAACTCCATTATATGATTGAATACTCTAAAAAAAATTTAAAAGCATTCAAATTTTTTTAATAATCACATAATTAGAATATAAAAAGTTAATAAATAAATATAGTTTAAAATATTAATATTAAAAATAGTAAAAAATATTTTTATAATATTTTAAAAATTAATTTATATCTTTATTTGATTATAGATTTTTTCTATAATTATAAGAAAAATATTTAAAATGTAAAAGAAATATTAAAAAGTTAAAAAGCTCTTTTTACTGTTAAAACAAATTATATATATATAAATAAATATAACACTCAAACTTAATTTATATTTAAAATATTATAATTTATTTATTTAATTTTTATAGTATAAAAATATTAAATATACAAATCTAACAATTAATAATAATATTTTAATAACAAATTTATATATTACCTTTTTATTATAATAATATTTAATACTATTTCATTTATTTTAATTATTATAATTAATTACTTTTAATATAAAATTTAAAGTCATATCTATTAATATAATATTTAAAATAAATAATATTATTTTTAAAATATAATAAATAAATAATTTTATTTAAATGATGAATAAAAAATATAAGAATTTAAATTACTATATTACTATTTGATTTTCTCATAATCAAATTTTTATATAAGAAATTCTCATACTTAGAAAAAATCACAAATCTCGTAATATCAATATTTTTAATAGTATGTACATAATTTAAATCTCAATAAACAATTAAAAATTTAGTTAAAAAATATAGTATTATCAATAGTTACCATAATAAAAAAATTAATATAATTTATATATTCAAATAAATCAATAAAATGAGTAATATTTGATATATCAATACTGACATAAATTTTTATTAATTTAAATATAAAAATAAAAACATCACCTATAATACATACTTAATGCAAATTTAATCAGATAAAAATAAAACATAATATATAATATCACTTTAAAATAATGCAATTTTATGTTTACTTAATAAATTAAAAAAATGCCTTATATAATTTATCACAACAAAATAAAATATATGAATACACACATATATATATATATATACTTTTTTAAACAAATGACTCTTGAAAATTTACATTATTGCAATATACAAATATAAATTAATATGAATTATTAGCAACTTTTCAAGTATAAGAATTATTTATTATATAGGTTAAGATAAAGATATAGTTAGTAATATATTACGAAATGAAAAATTAATTTAATAAATATTATCTTTTTATCTGTATAATAATTTTTTTGTCTTTTTATCATAAAAATAATAATATGCAATATAAAACTATAATTTTGTGAGTGTATAATTTTTTATTTTAAATATATTTTAATTTTTAATATGCACTTTTAAATACTAAATATCTCAAACTAATTATTAAAATTATTTAAGTCAATACCATTCAAATTTTAATAAGACTTAAAACAACTTATATGATTTAATTTTTAATAAAATAGTAAATTAAGAGGTTTGTTAATTTTTTAAAGTTATTTTTGTATGATTTTAAGTAATTTTTTTTTCATTTTTTTAATTTATGGTGAGCTTTTTCACTTTTTTTTTTATATATAACCAAGTTTAATAATTTTTTATCAAATGCAATTTATTGCTATTTTTTTATTTCCATTCTTAATATTTTATAACTATTAATATAAAATTTTTATATATAATTAATTCTAATAATTTTTTTAAGATAATTCAAATACAATAATTATAAATCAATTATAATTTAAATTCCTAAGATATGTAAAACATTGTAATTAATTTTAATATTTTTTTATTAAATATAATTTATAGTATTTTTTTTTTAATATACACTAACATCTATTTTAATAATATGTATATCAGAATTATATATAACTTTAAACATTTCAAAGTTTTTAATAATTTTTTTAAATATAATTAATAATTATTTTGTTATTCTATTTTTAACATGTACAATTATTTATAATAATTATTCGTATTACCAATATTATATGTGACTTTAGATATTTTAAAGTTTAATAAGCATAAATTTTGTTGTAAATATATATAGTATAGTGTAGTCAATTCTACGTAGATTATCTTATATATTATAATTAAATTTAATTTTTTATATTTTATGAGTGCTATGTAGATAATTATAAGATTTTGTTATTTCTTATAATTTTTTTATTTATAAATTTTAAAATATGACATATATGATATGTCAACTCTATCATATAATTTTAAATGATATAAATTTATACTATTGTATATTAATTTAGTTAAAGAAATATTGATAGATTTGATATAATTTAATTAATTAAAAACAAATTTTAATACATGATATCACTTAAAAATGTAGTTTTATACTTACTCAATAAATTAAAATAAAATATATGAATATAATTTAATAATCAATAAATAAATAAATATCAATATTAACAATATGTACTTAATTAGATAAATAACTCTTAATGTTATATAATTGTAAAATACAAAAACAAAGTAAGATAGTAGAAAGAACTTTTAAAATTTCTTTTGTATATAATAAAAATAAATCATTTGTATTATAATTTATTTATTTTTTGTCATAAATATAATTTAATAATATACAATATAAAACAATAATTTAAATCAATACATTTAAATTTAAATATAAGATACAATTTCATTTTCCATTAATATTTTACCTGAGTTATTAGTAAAAAAAAAAAATCACTTAGAACTTTATTTAATTTTTACAAATTTTTTTATGTAATTTAATTAATATTTCTTTCCTTTTTTAAATATTTCACAATTAATTTTATTTTATTTTTAATATTTAATAAATTTAAATAATTTTTATTAATTAAATATCACTTATAACAAATTTGTTATTGTCTTTTTTAAAAGTGTATAACTATCCATATAAAAATTTTATATAAAATAAATTATAATAAAATTTCTTTAAATTATATTTAAAGATAATAATTATGAATCAATGATAATTTTAATTATTAAGTTATATAAAATATTATAATTAATTTTAATAAATAATTATTAAATATAATTTACAATGAATATGTTATTTTTATCGCTGACATTACCAATCTTTGTTTTAACTATTTATATCATTAACCATGTAAATAAATTTAAATATTTTAAAATTTAATAATTATAATTTTTGTTATAAATATAAATAGTAATAAGTAGGTAAAAATAATATTTTATTTTTAATAATATAACGTTTATATCACCATAACTGATTTTAAATATTTAAAATTTTTATAATAATAAAATTTGATATAAATATAAGGAGTTGCACTTACTAATATTATAACTAACTCAAAGTATTCCAAAGTTTAATATATATATATATATATATATATATATATATATATATATATATATATATATATATATATATAGATAAGCAAAATTTGAGCGAGTTTATGTTAAAAAACTTATAATTGAAGCAATTTAATCTCCTATTATTTTAAATCACCTTTATAAATATAAAATAAAGTTCAGATATTTTTTTTCTAGCACTCATGTCAATCTCTCTTTTATTGTTTAATGAAATTTAATTTCTAAAAGTGAAAAAATATAAAATATAAAATTAAAATGTATTGATTATTAATTTAAAATAAGTTAAATTTACACAACAAAAATACTTTTAATTTTACATTTTTCACATTTTTATAATGTAGTATCAAATTTTGATTAATGATTTATTTACTAACTATGACATAAATCAAATTATAATTTATATACCTTTAACAAACAACATCATTGAGCTTAGTTCCACAGAAATGATTTATCATAATTCGAATTTGATGAACAATATAAAGTTTCACCTCAATTTCAACAATAATCTTGAAGATTGAAAATATATTAAATAATTTAAGCGAATTTTACTAAATTTTTGAGTTTTTTTTAAGAAAAAATAGAATTCCTACCAACGAGAGAGAGAAACTCACATAAATAAATTAAAATAATAAATAAAGCCTGTCGTCATCTTTGTTGTCGTATTGCAAATCAAAGTTTCGTCACCACCATCTCATGTCATGTGTATCAATAACAACACGATTTTATTTTAAAATAAATATTTAATTCAGTCTTTAAAAAAAAATCTAATTTATCTTTTCAAAAAACTATCAAATGATTTATCAGTACTCTAAACATTAAATCTTTTAATTATTCGATTGTTTTTGTTATTATTAACATATAATTAATCTCTAAAAAAAGTAAATTATTTACTAATTTATTTGTTGACAAAATTTTTAGTGGCTCTTATTAGTCACAAAAATATTAATTGAAATGAATGAAAAATTAAAATAATATATGTTTATGATTTTAAAATATTATTCAATGAATTTTTTGTATTCTTTAAAGATCAAATCAAGCGTTTCCACCTTATTAAAACATAAAGTCAATGATCCAAGACACAAGAATATATATATAAGTTATGCACGGTTTTTCTTTTCATATTGATGTATTCTTAAAGGAAATGAGAAAATTCAAATTTGTGTTGAGGATTCTAGAGTAATAAAATATATTTTAAATTCAACATTTTTTAAGTTAAAAGGTTACAGGAGAGTAAGAAGACTTGATGATTATCTAAAAATCACGTGTTAATTTTACTTGAAAGACCGATTAAAATTGATCAACTTAATGAAAACTAAGTATTAGTTTCTTGAATAAGTCATGAGAGAACCATTTTTTTAATTAACAAGAGATTCTCTTATTCTTGGTACATGTGAGAGGAATCAGAGGATGAAACATCGTTAGACTTGGACAATTGCTGTTTTTTCTCCCTGCGTGGAGCACGACAAGGCTGAAACAATCAAATCTAAAAGCTTTACGTGGATGAAGAGTGAAATGAAAAATATATATATAAATAATAAGAAAAAAAAGAAAATATATTATTGTGTTGCATTTGTCAACGTTTTTATTAAATTTAAGTAGTGATGCTTGATATTATTGAGTTTGCAAAAACATGTGGAAATCTTTTTTGAGTTTATGGCAAGATCCAAAAAAATATATATGAATTTGAGTAATTATTAATAATAAATATTAAAAAAATAATGTAAGTAATACTCTCTAACGTAAAGTACTCTTTGTTATTAAAAACTACAGATCATATAAATTTTAACTAATAAATTTTAATAAATTTTTTAGCTGGACTTGAAAAAAATATTAATAACACATTATTTAAATATATTTTGAATTATTTACTAAAATTTTAGCCATGTTATTAACGCTAATCAGGACAGATGATGGGATTAACGAGGTAAAGGAATGCAGTCCTTAGGAACGGTAGAGATAAACGACGGGAAAATCCGGAGAGAGTGGTGTAGGAGGGTAATGGTCCTAAACGAAGCTCGCCATTCCCTCTGAACTCCGTCTCATGGCTCACCCTCCACTCAGCAACTCGCTCTCTCTCCTTCCCAATCCCAAACTCGTTCCTCTATGTGCATGCACGTGCCGTCCCTTCTCTTCACAATCCCTAATTCTCCATCGCCATCATCACCACCACAATCCTTCACTCTCGCTACTCTTCACCAAACCCAAACCGCTCCTACGCTTCACGCACCGAACCCTCATCCTCGCTGCCGTTGGCCAGGCCGAACCGGAACGGCTCCCTCAACCCAATGCCCCAAAGGTACTTGCTTCGGAGGAATTCAATGTTGAGCTTTGATTCCTTTTATTTGGCTGTGTTGTGTATAGTTACGCGTTTATTAGGTCAATAGCGTGGTGAATTTAGGGTTCTACTAAACATTTAGTGCTTGTTGATGCTTGGTTTAAGGTTTAGTTGAACTGATTTTAATTTAATTTTTAGTCGTACATAAATTTATTTGAAACATATATTTTTATTGGAGTGTGTAGTTTTTATTAAAAAGTCGATGGTTAATTTTGTTACTTTAATTTAGAATATACAATTTCGTCGTCCCTGGAAAGATGATACTTGAGTTCCGAACCAATTTGTGATAATAGAAACGTTAACCTTTCTTTTATTTTTCAGAAAATTGCAAGTTAAAATTTATGCGATTTTGTTATGAGTAATTAATGTTAATTTTTTTCACTGAGAAGGATAAAGTTCCGTGTGCTGCAATCACGTGGTGTGTTTCAATTTTGTGTGCGAGAAGAATGTAGTAGGAAGCGTGAATTTTTCATTTTGTTCCTTGTAAAGTGATGAATTTTGAAGTTGGTTGAATTTTGATTGAATGGTAGAAACTTTCTGAAGCTTTTATTATTTAGAATATTTGAATTAACCCGTGAGAAATTATGGTAGGGATGTGCCATTGCAGTTGCATTTTTAACTTTCTGAGGAGTTGATGGAAGTTATAATTTGCTCTTGTAGGAGGATTTGCTTGTGAAATCTCAACATCAAGTTAGCCAGTTAAGGAACAGAATTGTTTTTGGACTTGGAATTGGGATTTCTGTGGGTGGTGTTGTTTTGACCGGAGGATGGGTTTTCACAACTGCCCTGGCTGCTGCTGTCTTTACTGGGGCACGTGAATATTTTGAATTGGTTCGGAGTCGTGGAATTACTGCAGGAATGACGCCACCTCCACGCTATGTGTCACGAGTCTGCTCTGTCATTTGTGCCTTATTGCCATTGTTTGTCATGTAAGATTGGTTAGTGTGCCATAATCTTCCATGTGCACTTGCATCTGGTAATCTCTAGGATTAGTATTTTGCATGGCATCATGTATATTTAACAAGGAAATTTAGTGATATTTGTTTTATGTGTTGAATGCAATTTGTTCTCCAGATTTTGTTGCCATACCTATTAAAACTGAATACTTGTCAGTTAACGCCTGATTTCTTTCGTAATCTTTGAAGGACATGCTTTAGATTATAGTGAGAAATGAGAATGAATAAAACATGATAGAGGGAAGGATAACCCCAAGTAATCTAGCATTGCCCTTGTATGCTGTTTTACTTTCTTGTTTCACTGGATAAAAAATCCAATGAGGACAAAGTAGTAAGGAATTGTCCTGTATAATAACATATATTTTGGCTGCACATCTAGATCTGCAATTTTTCTACATTAGGCATTTATATTTATTATAGTAGTCAATAACATTCTACAGGGCAAGAAGGATTTTAGTGCAAGAAGAATATTTGATTATCATTGGTGGGGAAGAAGATTTTAATACATTCCATGAAGGACATGTAACACATACATTACAAAATTCTGTCATCTCTAACAGCATGTGTTATAATGAGGAAATAGGGAAACTAGTTCTAAAGGATAATCTAAGATATGATTAAAACAAAAATAGATATTTCATATATTCAAATAGAGAAAACCTTTTCAATTAGAGAAGACTTGTGTACAAAACAACAACAACAACTAAGCCTTAGGTGAGATCAACTACATGGATCGCAGGACGTTATTGAACTCTTGTGTGAAAAGCATCTAAAACATATTTATTTATATTGATAGGCCCTTAATTCATAAAGAAGGCCCAAATGCATTTTTGTCCAAGAATTTCTCTAAGCCCCTAATTTGTAAAGTATACAAGAGAAAGAAAAAGAAAGGGGAGGTTAGTAGTGGCCAGGTGGCATAGTAGAGTTGGGGTGTAGGGAGAATTCTGTTATAAGAGAAGTGATGAGGAGAGAGAAAGGGGAAGAAGAATCTTGTTTTGTTGGGAGAGACATTTGTATGTTCTGGGAGGAGCATAGCTCTGGACAGGGAATTACTCAAATTCTCTGGTTTATTGTCTTTATTTCCATAATTAATATATACCTCATTTTCTTTCTATCTCAATACCAATTTTCATTCCTTTTCTTTTTTTGTTACTCTTATGTTTTGCTGTCTATGGATTCCTAACATATATGTGCATAACTTCTAGTATGGAAGGTTGATAAATGTTTCTTGCTGACTGATTTGTGATTCATGCCAGGTATCGTGGTCATATTGATGTTTCTGTGACTTCTGCTGCTTTTGTTTTGGCCACGACATTATTCTTACAAAGAGGAGGTCCCCGTTTTGCACAGCTAAGTAGTGCTATATTTGGGTTAGTTTATTGTGGATATCTTCCCTGCTTCTGGGTTAAGCTTCGATGTGGTTTAGCAGCTCCAGCCTTGAACACAAGTAATTGACTATTGTTTAATTCCTCTCTCAATTTTAGTTGGACCAATTGTGGGGATGGGGAGGGTCAGATCTATACTTTCATAATCAGTTAAAAAATACAGAAGTCACCAGTTCTATACTCAATTGCTAGTTGTATCTCTTTGTAGTCTAGTTGTTTGTTGCGGCAAAACCTTAGTTTTACTATATTTTTCACAAAACTGTTATTACTACTTAATATTCTATCTGTAGTATCTTCAATTACATTTCTACTACACAATATTCTGATTGTTATATCTCAAGTCTCAACTGCTTCATTTTTAGTAGGGTTTTCAATTTTTTCTCTCAATAATGTTATGCCACTGTATTGCTAGCTAACTTTATTGATGTGTGGAAACAGGAGTAATTCTCGTCTGGATATTGAATGTAGAGATTTTATTTCTCTCTAACTTGGTTTGGCATATTGCTAGTACCATATGTTGAAGGTCCATTAAACATGAGCAGTATAGTTTATTACTGTACTCTTCACCTTTGAAACAAGGAATCAAGTGTGCTTGTAACTTTTGTATCATTCCAAAAATTATTTGTGAATCCAAATGCAATCTTGTTCCATAAAAGTAGTTTTGTGGAATTTAAATATTTTGGTTGAAATGTGTCATGGCTGAAAGTAAACTCAACTTTAATAGTTTAGGACTATGAACCAAAGGGACCATGGCAGCTAGTCTGGTACTTTTTCCTCCTTGTATATGATTAAGTGCTTGGATTTCTCTTGTTCAGAAACTTCTTTGGTTATATGATAAGAACCACACCATAAAAGCTAGTTGTTGTAATGTAATCGGAAAGCCCAAGGCCTTATAAATCCTACACCAAAATTTCATACTTCTGATGTGGGAGTCAAGTCCCATACTTTTAAATTGGATCTTAACATTATATATTCCAGTCATTTTGGTTGTGTGTGGTCTACTGCGATGTGAGGTTGCATTCAAATTTAACTTGCTATAGTAGCAGCTCTGATGTACAACAATGAGTTAAATGCCATGTTTTAACACTATGGAGGAAGCTTATATCCATTGGTCAATTTTCTGTGTTATTTATTACAGCACTGGCATCAAATCCTTTAGATAGAATTTATCTTATGAAAGATAACTTCTGCAAATAGTATCATTATTTTGAATTCCCTATTTTCTACATGGCTTGAATTAGGGCCTCTATGTCTTAATAGAATATTATTTTGTAGAAATAGGAGCAAAATGGCCTGTGCTTCTTGGTGGCCCATCTCATTGGACAGTTGGTCTTGTGGCAACTTTGATTACCATAAGCAGCATAATTGCAGCTGATACATTTGCTTTTCTTGGTGGCAAGGTATACAGGTTTATTGGTGTCCAACTTATATGTTTTCTCCTCAAATTTGTCACTTGTTCAGTTTGGTGATTCCCAAAATTGTCCTGCCATTCTTCTGAGCCTGCCTGATTCCTAAGATTTTACTTATGAAATTTCATATATAATATTGGTAGTGTTCAAAGTTTCTTATAATATTTAGTATAAGATAAATTGCTTTTAATGAGATATCCTGGTCCTGCAACAATCAACCAAGAGCATGTCATTGGAACTGTGTGTTGACCTTATTATGTTGGAAAACAAAATAATTAATACTACATATATGCATATGCCTAATTTTGTTTACTGTCTTGGTTTTAAGTCCAAATAACCGAGTATCATCAATGTTCTGTAATGTGCTCGTTGCCTATTTATTATTTGTTTGTTTGTTTGTTATTGTTATGTAAGTATTCTATCATTGCTGTTGCTGTTGTATTTTTTAAGTCAAAAGTTGGTGTCTAATTGATTATTATGAATTTTTCATGACAAATTATGAGGCTTTCTCTTGGTTTTCATATTCAGACAGTTTATTTCTTCTCTCTTCCAAAACCCTTAAGTTGGTCTTCTATTATGATTTTCTTTTACCTTCATGCAGGCATTTGGTAGAACACCACTTACCAGTATAAGTCCAAAGAAGACATGGGAGGGTACTATTATAGGCTTTTGTGGGTGTATAGTTACTACTGTTGTGCTGTCAAAAATTTTTAGCTGGCCTATATCATTATCAAGGTACACTACCTGTCGTTGAAGTTAATGTGAGTGTGTGACTCATTTCAATTATTTTGTATCTGTTTTACTTGTTTGTTGATAAAATTTTTTGGTTGAACTTTGCATAGTATTTAAGAATTACATTATTTTGGTGAGATTATTTTATTAGTAGCAACCATCATCTGTACTGTAGAAATTGTGCAAAAGCCAACTTATGCAATGTTCACCTTCTTTTGGGGAAAACCATGTGCAATGTTCAATGGATGCAGTCAGTAGTAGTACCATGATGGAGATTCTTGGCATTAGCGTATTGTCAATCATATTGTAATTGTTAATCACCCTGCTATCTCAAATATTAGATATCTTCCTCTGTTGACCTGGTTTTTCATTTCACTCCATTATATAGTGTATATATATAATTATTTATACAGCTTATAGGTTTGCTCATGCGTTATTTCATTTGCGTCACTTATTTAAGAAATAAAACATGAATATCATCAAATATTTTTGCCCCTTACAACGTTACTCATCTTTTGTTAATGAGTGTAAATATACTTCATTCTAGTATAAGACATACATTTAGCATGCAACTTTTTATCCTGTGAACAGTTATTGACACTTGTGGTAATTTGTGGTCTTTACTTGGGTTTTGTCAGCGCAATAGCTCTTGGTGTTCTGAATTTCGTTGGGTCTGTTTTTGGTGATCTCACTGAATCAATGATTAAACGTGACGCGGGGGTGAAAGACTCTGGCTCACTGATACCTGGTCATGGTAATGCCTCTTAACTGGATAATATTTCTGTAACAGATGCTTTATTTATTTATTTTACTGAAGAGTGAAGAAACAGTAATATTAATAAGTAGTAACAGGGCATATGGTTGAAAAATGTCTAATGATGTCATCTCCCCTCTAAAGATGAACACCTTCAAATTACACCTCATTTTGTTCTCCGTTAGAAAGTACTTTAAAAGTAACACATTTTACTAACTCCATTTAATGCAGGTGGAATACTAGACAGAGTGGACAGTTATGTGTTTACGGGCGCTCTCGCATACAACTTCGTCAAAACATTTTTACCGCTGTATGGAGTATGACATGAAATAGTGGTCAGTGTTTCTTCAAGTTAGTTTAAATTTCATTCACTTATAGTTGAAAACTATATATTATCAGTAAATAAAAAGTACCACAATCTTTATTAGACTAATCAAGGTATTTTTATCAGCAGTAAATTTTTGAAAGATAGGTGGTATCTTCATGGTATGTTCACTGACAATGTTGGCATGTTATCAACCGCGAATTGAATTTAAAATTTGGTAGAAACGCCTGGATAGTTTTCGTGGGATCAAAAGACAGGATAACGTGTAAATAAATTTGGATATGCTTGCTGGTGGGAAAGAGATTTTTTCTAATGATCACCAGAAAACGAGAAGCAGGAATTTTCTTATCATCCCATGCCAAGTTAACCATAGTTTATACTTTATGTTGCTTCTTTTCCAAATTCACATGAGGTCACGGCTATGAGGACGAAACATGGTTAGCATTGGTTGTGTATTGTGACTTGTAAATAGCCACAATTGACTTTGAAAGAAAATGAACAATTGCAGTTACTCCAATTCTTTTGATATCTCGTAGATCAATATACCAAGGATATTGTAGAACAATCGTTAAGAATAATTTGTTTCTAGTAAATTTTTGTTATTTATCATTGATATTGTCTTATTGTATTTTGACGAATTTTTTTATATGATTAAAGGCATTAGGATTAGGAACGTATAGGAGATCTGAATCCCATTTTCAGGTTTGTCAAAAAGAAAAGAAAAGAAAAAGTAAAATGGACAAAAAAGATTTGTCACAATAATTAAACTAAATCAAAATCATGTGTGTGAGAATATAAAATAAAATTTTCAGCATACACAAGTTTGGCGTGGAAATGGCTACATTTGGATCAAGTAAACAATTCTGAACCCACAAAAAGTCCATGTGCTAATGGAGTGAACTCTCAAGATTATGATCATTACATTCAGATCTCAGTTTCCCTTTACTTCACTAAATGAATCAACTGTGCAGTCTGACAGAAGCCTGCAACAGAAAACTGAAGCCTCACCTCAATATTTGGGCTCTGCTTATATATATAAGAGGGAACAAACCCAGCTTGTCAACAACCTGAGTCTGCATCTTCCAAATTACTCCAAAGTACACCCATGAAGAATTCATTTGGCTTTTAGAGGGGTAATCGGATATTTAGTTAGATGTGTTACCAGGCTTGTTGCTGAAACATGTAGGCTTAAGAGCAGCTTGCTGTCAAACAATGCAAAAATAATTGTGCTACTCATGAATATGAAAGGTTCGGTCTAGTTCCTCACAGCTTCAAACCTAAGGCAAGTAATAGGCATCATAGAATCATAATATTATTAATAATATCAACCCATATTAATAGAAGAGATAAATGCATTTCAAGAACCATATTTTTTTCCTTCAGATGACAAAAGAACATAAATTGAATTTCCAACTCATTTTGTTATTAAGAGATTCTTGCTTCTAGGAGGTTCACCATGTCAGTTGTGCACCAGACCAATGACATGCACTTGGACCCGGAAGACGCAACTTTATGTCAGCATTGGCCGTCTACTGAACTGAAGGTTCAATCAAGCACTGAGATCAGGAAAAAAAAAAACACATTATGAAATTAATTAATAAGGTGTGGGAGAAGTATGCATATACACGCACGATTTTTTTAATGTGTATCTTATAAAAATAAAAAAATAATAAAATTTCATTTAAAATTATATTAAATTTAGATATATAATATAACTTTCAATAAAAAAAAAATTATTGTTTATGGTTTTTTATTATGAGTAGCTACACAAGGGCCCAATGGCATTGAATGAGTGAGATGAATGGTGATGGCTGAGGCCGAAGGATGCGCAGAGCCGCTCAAATCTCAATGCGTCATATTGCATAATCGTTTTCTGAATTCATTAAAGAAAAATGTTAACATAATGTTATTATATTAAAAATAATAATTATTATATTAAAATATAAAAAGAGTAATAAATAGTAAGAGTATTTTTAATAAAAAATTATTATTTTAAAACATTTAAAATTAATTTAAAAGTTCAAAATGAACAAAATCGTTAATTCAATAATTTACATTTTTTTTTCATAGCTTATGTACACATTTATTTATTTATTTAATGAGTTTTAAATATAATTGAGACGGTCATAGACCCTCGTATTTTGATTATTTTAAATGGCCATAGTTGTATTGGGCTTCCGTAAGATTTACGTAATATCTGAATGTATCTTTGAGGAAATACGTAAGTCATTGTCGTCTAGGTAATTACCGTTTCCTTTATTTGGATCTTCTTAAGTTAACATTATTAATTAAAAAATATTAATATACTCTTTATTTTTATTTTGTAATCAAGATTTTAATATTTAATTATCACATTTGACATCTAATTAATTTAATTCAAATCAAATAAAATGACTGAGTGACAAAAGCTTTTCTTATCAAATTTTAACTTAATTATATCTGTATAGACTTAGTTAAATAAACATATATCAAATGGTTTTAATTTTTAATGTAATAAATACTTTCTTATTAAATATTTTATCTTTATTTTTAATTAATATTTTTAACACACTTGTTATTTATCTATTATTCATTATTGTCCCAATTCGGTACCTAATATTCACACACTCATCCAAAAAAAATAAAAAACAAAAGAAAGGAAAAATACATAATAAAAATAATTATGCTACCACCTATGGTTATGAATGCTTCAACATTCAAATACTATTAACTGGACTTATCTTTCCATTTTTCAAATTGTGTTGAAAGTATCACCAATATTTAATCTTGAATTAGTAATTTCTTAGATAATTATTTGAATAAGTAAACAAAAGAATATCAAGCTAAATATTAATTGACATATCAATACCTCGTGATATGTTAGTACATAGAGCATATTAATTGGTTTTCATGTGCAAACATATTTGAGTGGTTCAAAATAGGTTATTATTATTTTTTCCATTTACAAAATCATACTTATTCTAAATTATATTCTTATCTAAATTAATGTTGAAAAGAACACACACTTGTACTTTTGCAGACAATGTCTGTGTAGTTTATTTTCTTTTTCTTTTTCCTGTTAATTTGATAGTTTTATCATGTTGGAATGATGAATATTACTCCTTAACAATAGAAGAGACACTTTCACATTGATTTTTCTATATGTTTTGCAAGGGACGAGCAATGGCATTGTTTGTCAATAAATGCATGTGTTCAAAATATAATAGTAGTATATGTATATCATGTCTTTATGGATAAAACCAATGTGATATTGATTTTTCAGTCACGAAGGTAGTTTCTGTGGCTTCAAGCCTTCAACCATAGGAAAAGAACAATGAATGAATAATTATTGTGACATGAAAAGTACTACGTTGAAATGAAAGTAGAGGGTGAGTTGCGTGAGTGGAAGTGTGTTTCTTTCACCAAAACTTTGCATATGTTTGATATGGTACTTTTATTTCTTTGACTACAAGCATGCGAATTATTAATTATATTTTATTATGGAATTTTCAGATAAATTAATTCATTGGTTCATATATTATTTTAAAATTACATGTTAGAGTTAAACATTTCTTGCCGAATAATTCTTAATTATTTTAGTTCCAAAGTTAGAGGATTTAAAGTTATATATATATATTTGATTTAACTTAAGAGAATTTTACAGAGATTTAAATACATGACTTTCTATTAAATATACTGATCATGTATATATGCAAACGTGAAGAAAATTTACATCAATATGCTAACTCTTCCGGCGATTGATTAATTCTTAATTATGATTGAGCATATTTTATACATATAAATATTAAAATATTTTTTTATAACGTGAAAAATTATTATGATTTATTTATTTGTTATTTTCTTTTACAGATAATATTTTCTTAAAAAAACTTAGACAATTAAGAATACGTTTTATTACTGTTTTAAAAACAGATTTTTGTATTTAAAATAATCAAACATATCCTAAATATTTGATATTTCTTTTATAGATGTTTTCAGTCGTTCAGAAATGTTTAGGTTTTTTGGTTAAAAATTAGATGGAATAAACAAGAAAAATTAAAACAAAATATTACTTTTAAAAATTATAATTCTAGCCCAAACGATTAAATTGTAATTTACCCTTTGATCATAAACTTTTTTTAACCATATCTAAACACTCCAAGCAATGCATTGGATCACACGTCTTTGGTCGGTCCCACACGCACTTACTCGACATTTGGTAAGAGATACAACACATGCCACAATCAAACAATAATAATAATAATATAATAGTTTTAGGAATAATAGAAATAGTTGTTTAATCAGTTAATAAAATAATTTTTTTTTATTAACAAATGAGATACTAAAAAATATTACTAAAAAATATTTCTAGTATCTCAGAATAATAAAATTTAAATTTTTTTTATCTAAAATAATATTATTAAATTTTTTTATTTTTATGTAATTATAAAAAATATATTATATTTATTTAAATAATTAATAAATATATATTTTTATTACAACCGCCATCTACTTACAAAAGCAAAGCAAGTGAGTCTAAAACTAATAAGAATATAAGTCAACATGCAGAAAAATACTAGATCTGAGATAAAACTGAGTAACTTAAAAATAAATAAGTTAAAAATTTGCTCTAAAGCATGTCAAAAACAGGTTATATAATATTTTAACACACGATTTGGTATATATTTATATATCTCAATGTTCCTTGGTTTGCTTTGCATTTTCTATGCGTACGCCAACCTGTGCTTCCCCTGATTCTCAAGGTTAGTCCATTATTTTTTTCTGTTTTCTTTTTCTTTATAAAAAAATTGTTAATTTTTCTTTGTTCAATTTATGGGTGCAACTGGAACAAGTTCCTGATTCTTCCAGATGATATCATCACTTATCTTTCTGTCTTGTGTACAGTGAACTTGGATTTGCCCTTTGAAACTGATTTTAAAGCTAATTTCATAATAGGAAGCAAAATTTAGTCATGGTTTTTCCTGCAAACAATCATAGGCTAAAGGTGTAGTGGTTGAGCTTCTGAGTTTTTTTATTAGTCTACCACTTTAATGTCTTCCCCTTGCCCCCTTTTGATTCTTGTTGAATGAGTAGAGTAGAATTGTTGGTTTGATTCAACTCTCATATAGACATTCATGTAAAGATCATATTTTTGGAACATCAGTGGGTTTACTTTTTGAATTTTTCTTTTTACTTTCATATTTAGCTTCTAAACCTAGATTTTTCGCTTGTGTTTTAAGATCAGCAATTGATCTGTGTTTATCAAGTTAATATATGTTCTTATTTTTATTTTCCTTTTCAAACCTTAACAATTTTTGAAGTGGGTGTTCTTTCCTTCTTTTTTTTTTTTTTTCAGATTCTCTCTCTAACAACAATCATCTGCTGAAAATTCAAGTATGCTGCTGAAAGTTCATCAGTTTAAAGTTGTAAGCACATACTCTCAGTTGTTGATAGAGACCCTGCTGGGAATGCCTAAAAGATGTGTCTTCTTGATTTCAGTTATGTCTATGAGATTCACAAGGTGCAACCCTTGCTATTAATGCCTCACTTAATGCTTCACAAGAGTGGACCACAAGTTTGTAGTTCATTTATAAATTATTCCTTGATGCTCCATAGGCACACAAGTTTTTTTACAGTGCCTGTTCTGCTAATACATGATTTGTGTGAAGACGGTTGAAACACTTTTCTGCTGTATGTATATAGTATTATAGTTTTACACACTTTAGAATACTAGTAAATGATATAGAATTTGAGTGAGCTGAGGAAGTTTGGTAAAATTTTATACTACTTTGAGGTCTCATTATCATATGGAGAGTAACTCAAATGTCTTAATGCAAAGATATGAGTTGGGAAGATTGTTAGGCCAAGGAACCTTTGGAAAGGTTTACTATGCACGGAGTGCAATAACTAACCAGAGTGTGGCTATTAAAGTGATTGACAAAGATAAGATTATGAGAACTGGGCAAGCTGCACAAATCATGCGCGAAATATCCGTTATGAGAGTGGCCAGACATCCCAATATTATACAGCTTTTTGAGGTTATGGCTAACAAGAAAAAGATTTACTTTGTTATGGAATATGCTAAAGGTGGTGAGCTCTTCAACAAGGTGGCGAAAGGAAAACTCAAAGAAGAAGTTGCACACAAATATTTTAAGCAGCTAATCAATGCTGTAGATTTTTGTCACAGTAGAGGCGTGTACCACCGAGATATAAAGCCTGAGAACATTCTATTGGATGACAACGGGAATCTAAAAGTATCTGATTTCGGTTTAAGTGCTCTTGCCGATTCCAAGCGACAAGATGGCTTACTCCATACACCTTGTGGTACTCCTGCTTATGTTGCTCCTGAGGTCATCAAAAGAAAAGGATATGACGGTGTCAAAGCTGATATTTGGTCTTGTGGGATAGTTCTATTTGTCTTGTTGGCAGGTTATCTCCCTTTTCATGATCCAAATTTGATAGAGATGTATAGGAAGATAAACAAAGCAGAATTGAAGTGTCCTAATTGGTTCCCTGCCGAAGTATGCCAGCTATTGAGTAAGATGTTGGATCCAAATCCTGACAACAGGATTTCCATATCTAATATTAGGGAATATTGTTGGTTTAACAAAGGACCAAATGTTAAAAGTAAAAGACCTGAAGTGGAAAACAACACTGTCTCTTCTTCAGGTACAATTGTTCCTGATCAAAATGATGAAGGTGAAGCAAAGGAAGAATCTGTTGTTCCAGTTAGTATAAATGCCTTTGATATCATCTCACTTTCTGCTGGTTTTGATCTTTCTAGATTCTTTGATGATCATATTCAGAAAAGGGAAGCAAGATTTAGTTCAAGGTTACCTGCATCAATCATCATCTCTAAGCTGGAAGATATTGCTAAGCAACTAAAGCTGAAAATAAGGAAAAAGGTTGCTGGTTTGTTGAAATTAGAGAGACTCAATGAAGGTAGGAAAGGGGTATTATCCATTGATGCAGAGATCTTTGAGGTTACCCCTTTCTTCCATTTGGTTGAGGTGAAAAAATCAAATGGAGACACTTTGGAATATCAGAAAATATTGAACGAAGATATAAGGCCGGCACTTCAGGACATAGTTTGGGTCTGGCAAAGTGATCAACAACTTCAATCACAGCAGTCAGAGCAACAGCTACAGATAGATGATCAGCAGGAACAACAACAATCACAGTCATAAGTCATAACCAATTATCAATTTTGAGGTGTCATGCCTATCACATTTCATGGCAATTCCCAGTTTTTGCTTTAATTTTTTCTTCAAAATCTTGTTTGTGCATATTTTGCGTTTCATGATGCTATGACCTTATTGTAGCATATCTTGTGTCTCAACTCAATTTTGCAAAGTACATGTCCCAGTTTTTCAGTATAACAAGAGTCTGAAACAACTTTTTTCCAGTTTTGATTTTATGATAATAGAATCTAAATATATATGTACCAACTTTCTATTGAGCCAATCCACTCAAGCCAGTATGTTACTCCAAATGTAATATGAATGCTCAAATGCTTACAAGGGTGCCCGAGGAACAAGCACACTTGTGTCTGAAGATATATATCTTACGTTGTGGGAGACAACAATAATTTATAGTTTTATGAACACTAATCAATAATCCTTAATCAGTCCTTAAAATTGATTTTAAGTATTTAAAAATAAAAAGTTCTTATTGAAAAAATAATATGTATTAGACTACTATGTTCTTGATACAGTAAATGTTTCTTTAAAATAAAATTTGCTCATTTTAATTGTTTAAAATTAGTCCTTAGAACCAAGATTAATATTTTCCAACTTTATATTGATTCCTCATGTTTAAAGGAAATGAAAACTTCATTTTATAGAGAGAGTCATGCTGGCCTCAAAGTAAGTATTGATTTTTTATAAACTCTCCCCGGAGGAAACCTACTCTTATCATGCTACTTTCAAAGACCTTTCTTTCCTTTATTGTTATTATAATCTTGCTAACCACAGTTTTTAAGATTAGGTTTAGACATTCAGAAATAGTAATTTTTATTAAAAAAAAATATAATACTTGTTATACTTTTTATTCTTAAGATGATAAATGCTTTTTTGATAAAAATGTATGACTTTTTGTTGCTTATCCAGGTTAAAAATTTCCTTATTATTATTGTTAGAACTTCATGGACTAGAATTTTATCTAATGGTCAAGGAATCTATTGACAGTCAAAAGTAAGCACTTTATTTTAATGGACCAAACTTTAAGCGTAAGGAGTAGGCAGAGAAGCAAAAAGAGCTCATTTAGCCGCGTGTCAAGGTACTTGGCACTTTACTCAACTCAATAGCCCATGTCTTTGTTTGACCAATCTTCCAAAGCTTTGCCTATAAATAAGCGCCGCAATGATTAGCAAGTTTTTGCATTAGTTTTCTAAAGATTTTCAATATCAAATTAATTCTTTTAAAGATTTAGAACATAGTAATATCCATTTTTATGAAAGACTGAAATGGTGTCACAAAATAAAATATGTAATAATTTAAAACTGTTTTGGTGTTTATAGACTAATTTAATAATAAAAATGTTTTAATTATTGATATGATGACGAGCTAAAATTCAATATACTAATTTAATGATACTTTCTTTTAAAGAATAATACAATACCTTCCTAATCTTTGGAAGACTAAACAAAGTTTACTTGCACAACATCTGACACATATGGGGGACTCACATCGTTTCGAGGCGCCTTATGTCAAAAGTTCACCAACTTGATCCTTGTTACTTAAAAGAGTCCATTCCCCATGTGCCAAAAGGACAACAAAAGGAAAAGAATGTGGTGGTTATGAAATAAGAATTACAAAACACATTTAATAGTTTTATTTCTATATAAAAAAATATTAATTAATTTCCTATTTTATTCTATAAATAAATTTTCTCCCACTTTAATTTCCTTCTACATAATAATTATCAAACAATAAAATTGAAAAAAATATTGTTACTTTGAAAGAAAAAAAAAAATGCCAAAGCAACTATTATTTTGAATTAGAACAAGTATCTTTTACCATTTGCACTTGCTACTGAAGTGCAAGTCAATAATCAATGGTCATCACATAAAAGAAACAAGTTTACACAAAAATGCGTTTTGAGTTATTGACTGTAGTTAGTTATTTATCTCTTAATGAGACTCGATAAGAATTGAACATTGTGATTAATTAATTGATTTAAAGAAACAAGATTACACAAAATTGTTCAGATTTCTCCATTCTTACAAATTCAATGGTGACCTGTGGTCAATAACTACTTTGTGTGATCCATATCAGAGAATGATAATGGGATGTGATAGGCCACATTATTTAACAACTATTGTTTTCTCACCACATTGGTCTGTTATATGTTCAAAGCCTTACAATTGGACAAAGTTGGGGGACTTAGTTAAGTCAATAAAATCAGCACCAGCAGAGGAGGAAACTCTTCTCTTCTTCCTATCCAAAATGCTTCTGCAGCTAGGAGAAGGGGTAGACAAATCAATAATCTCAGCATCATGGGGCAGAACAAATGTAGCACTTGATTGTTCAGATTCTGGTTTACTAAAATCAGCACTACTCTTGTGCGTCACACTCATGAAATTAGCATCTTCAATAATCTCTACTCTTTTTAATGAAGTTGTTGATGATGATTTCACCATCAGTGGTGTGATAGAACAAGATGGTTGGCTCTGATCTTGTGAATTGAATGAATGAGCTGGTAGTTCTCTTGCTTCATATTCTTTGTTCCATTCAAATGCTTCACTAATCTTGTCTCCATAATTTGGATTTTTAGGTGAATTAGGAGTGACAAATTCATCACTTGCATCAGGAACAGAACTTCTAGTACTTGTGTTATTATCAAATTCTAGTTCATCAATGCTATCATCTTCATTTTCTGACAAACCATCAACTCTTTCAGTATAACATGGAAGTTCATCCATTGAGCCAATCTCAATCTTCATATGATCAGGCAAGCTTGGGCAACCAGCACAATGTTTCGTGTACTTAGTGGAGAAGAAGTTTACAGTGATATTCATGCTGTAATAATTTACATCATATCAGCATTAAAAACTAATTCCTATCATTTCATCTAAAAAGTGTGTCCATTCCTAAATCTCTATAGAGATAAACAATACCTCTGCCAAGATGGAAGGGTGAGCATTGTGTATGCAAGTTTAATCTTATTGGCAATTCCTGAGAGGGATTTAAAACTAGCAGCTGCTTTCCTTACAGCCAACGATTCGACAGGGTGCTGCCAAGCCCATTCAAACTGCAAGCCCAAGTTAAATTAACCACATCAAAACGTTGTCTTAAAATTTGGCATTTAAATAGCACAGAATGCTTACTTTACACTTGAGGCAAGTGGGAACCAGACTCATTTTATAGTTACATACAGAGACCAACAAATTAAGTTTACAACAGATAAAAAAAATATAAGTGATCTTTCCACAGCTGATCTTTCCAAATGAAATTAGCAAAGCAGCATAGATTCATATAAGTGATTGCATTTGTAATTGTCAATCACAAACTGCATGAGTAAGCAACTAATAGAACTGATCCTTGCATGCAACAAACATTGTTAAATGGTAAGCATTGTAAACTCACAAACTTTCAGCATTCATATGTCCTCAAACTTAGCAAGTTAGCCTTTCATAAAAAAAAAAAAAAAACACTCAGTACTCACACACACACTATTAACGAATATTTTAACTTGTTCAAGCAAACAACAATCCCAATTATATATCTTCAAACATTTTTAGTGAACAAACGCTAGACATATAGAAAGCAGAATAAGATTCTGACCTGAAGGGCAGAGACATTTGTTGGAAATCCATAGATACACAAAACCATCTCCCAAGGTCGCCTCTTCTTCGTTCTCCAAGCACCGCACCCAATTTCCCCATTGTGTTGCCGGATTCGCCGACGCGGATTCACTGTAAATCTGAAATTGCATACATGGAAACATAAACACAAACACTGAAACTACAAGTATAAGATCCATTACAAAATCAACAAGTTGAAGCAGAAATTTCTTTTATTCTATCAAAGAAAATTTGAAATTTTTCAACAAATGAACAGCACAAGAGAACCATCACATCACAAAGGCACCCACTTGAAACGAAACAGGAACCGAAGAAAATGGTACAAACCCAGGATTTTTGTGAAGTAAAAACAAAAGGGGTGTGATAAAAATTTGATATTAAGAAGTGAAAATAAGAAAGATGATGGAGGTACCCGATGTAAGTGTGGCCTTTGAAACGTGGGTTGAGAGAGGCCAAGAGGTAGCAAGCAAAGAACGCATCTCCTTCACCACCTTTGCTTTCGTTTTGCAAAGCTTCATCTTCTACGCAAGATGCATATGCAGATGCTGAATCGAGAATGGTTTTTGAGGCCTCAGATCTTGCACCCTTTCTCTTCCTCATCACTCTCTCTCTAATGAAATTCGACCGTTGACAGTAGACACTGATTCTATTATTATGTTACCTATGTATGATCATGTCACTCGCCCTAGTGATATATTATGAAATTAAATTCAAGGTACTTTATTTTTAAAATAACAGTAATAATTCAATAAAGTAAATATTAGAATTAGGATTTCCTTATCTTTTATTCCAAGAAAATGATTTTAAAATCTTGCATTTTTTGTAATGAAAAGTTAATAATGTTTTATATTGTCCAATAAAATAATTTTTTTGTCATAAAAAAAGAAGAAAAATACATTGAAGGCTAAACAAAACCACATTCGACATATAGCTATTAGCATATTCCTCGCCAAAGCTATTAGTTTGTAAATTTATAGTGTACGTCCACTATATACTTACAAAATGAGAAGTTAACTTTTAAATATGAAAGTGGTAGATCACCAACATGACTTTATTTTATTTTTTCAATATATATATATATATATATATATATAAAGTCGTTAACGGCAAGTATAATTAGTAAAAAAATTAAAGATAAGTCTTACATAATATATATGACTTACACTACTTTTATAAAATAAAATAAAATTTACACTAAATCAATTATGATAACAAATTACCACATGCATAAAAAAAGTCAAAAGGTGACCGCGGAAAAGTATAAGATGTCAAGTAAGTGAAGTAACCAACCAATATCAGAATACTGTACAATATATTTTTAAGATATAGTCTTGTCAATTGTACTTGTTTTAATAACTGGACCACTGAAATTAAATTCCACTTTCAAGAACATTCATCAGAGATTAAAAAAAGAAATCAATGGAAATTATTATTGCACCATTTAGAGCCTACTTTGAAAGGGATGAAATGGTGGATGTTTGAATCTTGGCGGGGCACTTTTCCTCAATTCACACCATAGTTACAAGGTTTAAGAGTTTAGTGAAAGAGGGTATCAATTTACTTCATTCTTGATAAACAAATTTTAGTTGAAAACAATATGATATCGATAATCTTTGAATCAACTGAAAATTTTATGAATCAAATTGTTGATTCATCTTCATTCTTGATAAACAAATTTTATAAATCAACAATTTTTTTGAATCAACAGTTTTTATTTTACATGCCACTACTTAGACTAGATAAACCACCCGGATAGAAATCTTCCCCAGTTAGAAAGATCATTTGATCCCATTACCCCGCCGTATCAAATATGATTCTCGTCACAAATTAGCTTCAGATCCTTCACATCAGTCTACTATCAATACATTCCATTTTGCTAATATCTTGGAAATTGGATACAAAGAGCCAAGGAAACACGAGCCGTAGTGTAATAAAATATTTACATTTAAAAATTTATACTCCACTAGCATGCTGGTAGTGTAAAATGTTGCTTGGTCTGTTTTTTTTCAATATCATATGTTTTCATTTTAAGCAATATTGTTGCTTTGCCTGGTCTAAGATGCAGATTTGGAATGAACATTGGGTCAATTTGAAAAAACTTCTCAACTCAACAAATACTTATAAAAGAAAAAATTAAAATAAATCAAGAACGTAAAATGAATCAAGTTTTTTCCATGAATTAAAGTCAGCTTATGCCACTCAATTTATGAAGAAGTTAAATGTAGGAACATTCTACAAAATTGAACTGCATAAGTAAATTTTAATTCATGAGAAATGTTTGATTCATTTTTCTGCGTTGATTCTGATAATTTGATACTTGCTTCTGATTCTATCAAAAGCATTCTGTCATTTATCAAGCATAATTTGACTAAAGTATCTGGATATTGTGGAGTTGAGACATAACTAATCACTCTCATTCCTTTCCAGAGAGTGATTCTTTTACTAATAATACCCAAGCAAACAACTCACTGCACTTTTCAGAAATATTATCAAAGATGAAACTGTTGTTCAACACGAATTCTTCCAAATCAACCCTGAATAAGGTATTTCTCTCGGTAAAAATAAATCAGAATTTTCAAGCACAAAGTTAAGTCTAGTATTTGTAGAAAATTGAAATTCTCAAAGAACCGAGGACCTGAGAATCTGCTCCAAATTCTTATTGAACAAGTTCTGGAAGTTTAGTTTTACAAATATAATGACATTTTTTTTTATCAGCTGTCAGTTTCATGAAGAATTTAAGAAGCTGTGATTCTATGCTTATGGTTATTTTTTTAATTCTGTTCTTTTCGTCTATACAGGCATCTTCAGTTTTATCCAGGGTCCAAACATCATCAGAAACTGCCATTTTGGAAACCGATTTGTTCTTCCTTATCTGCCTTAGAACCTATCAACATCCCAAAGTACTTTTTTTTTTTTCATTGTTCTGTGTAGAGAATTAAAATCCACAAACTTGATTCCATATCATTATCCTACTATTACTAGTGAACCAAACATACAATAAAGTTGAAACATACATCAGTACACTCAGTAACCCTTTGATCCATCCAATTTTCCATGTTATTCTACCTGAAATTACAAACCTGACATTTCAAAATGTTATTCTGTCTGCCATGCCCTATTCCATAGCACTTTTGACTATGGAAAAAAGTGTAAAAACTCACCAAGCCTATTCCTACATCTATACCAGATACCTTGTGTTGCAAACCAACAATGATGCCTATAACTAAATCTCATTGACTCCAACAAGATAAGAGCATTGCACCTCTGTTCACACCTTGCTAAGAAAGTACCACACTTTAAAAAATATGTTCCCCCTAATGAACACTACATTTGATTAAACCAACAATTTATCAAATTTCTCCGCTTCACCTGCAAAAATCTTCTTTTCATGAACTGAGAAGAAACAAGAATCCCATGGAAAACCCAAATTCAAATTTACAATTTTACAAGAAACAAAGAAGCAACTCAATGATCCAAAATAGAATCAGTAAAAGGGCACGCTTCCTATGAGATATAATCAAGAAAATAGACGCAATGGTTATTAATATTATTCATATTATTTTTATTATTATTCCATTTATGACTTTCACTATGCATTCAAAACCCACAACAGAAACCCCAATACTATGAACAACAGCTATGATACAGCAGAGCATCCAAATTGACCCTTCAATTACAATATCAGAGGCAATGTTCAAATTCAATCACCCATTTGGGCCTACAAAGATCATGAAGCTGAACAAGGGTAAGATACAACCACATCACATCAGCATGATTTCTTTGAAGAGGAAGACACCATATGCCTCCAAAGATAACGACCACTAGCCATATCAACAAAGGTCCAGAACCCAGATTCTAACGCAACCCGAACCTAAATCCACAAATTTAGGGTTAATAAGAAAAGACAAGATTTTTATGAAATTGAAGCAAAAGGGTGAAATGGGTCAACCTTGGAAGTTCCATTAGAGGAAGTGTCGGTGGAATCTGAGATTTTTGGGTTCGTAGGAACAGCATCATCATCGTCGACCTTAGGCTGAGATCTGAGGTTTCTGAGGACGAAGAAACCGGCGAGTGTTGCGGACAAGAATATGAGAATGAGCCTCAGAGGGCACATTTTGTTCTCAATCCCTTCTCTGATTGAGAAACCAGTGTGTGTGTGTGTGTTGGCACAGTCAGACCCACGAAACAAATGGGATTAACCTTAATAACGTCTTCTTAACTGAAGTGGTGCTGTTAATAACTCATTATTATTGACATTCAAGATGTCTAGTGGACACCCACTAGAGCATGCCACATGTGGTTGGTGGCTTGCTTCCAATCACATTTAGTCAAATTCTTCATAAATTATTATCATAATGAAACTTGCCACAAGTTTAATTTGAGCACATCCTATACGTATTTCTTAAAAAAGTCCAGGTATTTTGAATTTAAATTTTTTTATGATAATAAATGAGAAACTTTACTTTATTGACTTGGTGCTTATTAATTTATATTGCCCTTGAAAAGAGTTGTTTCAAAAAAATTTATACAAGTTTAATAATATTTTGGTGTATTTGGTGGCAAAAATTTAAGAATCTCATTTCAAAGTGCTTTTTACATATATAAAAAATCAAAGTATGTAATTTGTATTGAAAGAAAGTGTTATCTTTATTTTTTTTATCTACCCAATAAAAAAATATGCCACACAGGCTAAGAAATATAATTAATATTTACATTTTTGTTAAAAAAAATTGAACTTCTTAATAAGTTTTACAGTAAGTGTAAAATATTTTAAAATTAAATAAAAATAAAAAATAACATCATTTTAAATTTTTAAATATACAAATAAATAAATAATATTTTTTTTAACAAGTGGACCAGCATATATTAAAATTAAATGATTAAGAATCAAACTTTTTCTCCCACCGCCGGCATAAAAGGCAGTGTGATGGAAAACACGTTGCTGGAAATCGAACCCTACTGCTCTCCTTAGGCTTCAAATTTTCACTCAAGTGAAAGAATACCCAAAATGCAAAAGTAAAAATCTATTTACTATTATTTTAAAATTTATTATTTTAAAAGTAAACAAACTTTTACCTACTATCTTTTGTTCTATATATAAAAAAACAAATATCTAATTAATCAAGACTAAGAATGAGTAATAATATATCATAAATTTATACTCTACTTCAAAATTAACTATAATATTAAATAGTCAAATTAGTATGTAATATGTTAAATGAAAATATATTTATTTATTTTGGATAAAACATGAGTATCTCATTAATACAAATTTTTCAATAAATAAAAATATAAAAAAGTTAATGCATAGAAAAGAATAGTTTTTATTTTTTATATTCAAGACAATAAATATTGATAGTTATTTCTTATAAATATAATCAAAATAATATTAACGGAGAAATGAAACTTGAGTATTGAAGAATTTATTTTTGGTCAAGGAATATTGAAGCAGTTAAATCCATCTAGACCCAGTCCTAGTGGCCCAATGTTTAAATATTGGACAATTTATACAATTGCCACTTAGTTGCAATCAGCATTAAATCCCAATGAAATATCTTAACTGCTTCATAAGATAATGTTATCCATTGCTAAGAAAAATAATAATTAAAAACCTTTAGATCCAGTGTGAGGCAGAAGGGGTTAACAAAAGAGTGGTATGCATGCATGCACCCAACTTTTTGACCAAGAAAAAAATGATTTTGAGTTATGAACCAAAATGAACGCCCAAACAAGTCCTAAGAAATAGTTTATGAAAATTGGCACCAATAATTTCTTACTATGCCTCTTTAAATTAGGAAATGATGAGACAACACAAAATTTAGCTTCAGCCTGCCACGCAGCAAATGAATTAACAACGCATATGTGCCATCTTTGATATATAAAAAACCTGCATCAGAATGAGAGCAATATTGGATGTTGTTCAAAGCAATTAAAAATTACTACTTTTGATTATTATGTTTTACCAGTGAAAAAATGAAGGAATTGGGGTCTTAGCTTCAACCTTCAAAACATAGTAATTACTTTCCTATGTACCAGCCTAACCACCCTAAGAAAAAACTGCCCTTTATATTTGATTTAGTAAGGAACATGTATAATTCATTATAGCTACATGCTTATGTGCAAAAACAAAATTAAAGTAAAAAAATAAAAATAAAAATTAAGACCACCTTATTATGTCCTTTATCTCTTGGCAAATCGAGTTATATTGGCTAGAACCGTTCTCAAGCTTCGGATTCCTGCTCCAGATTTTGAGCTTACCATCATCTGCAACAGACACAATGCAAAACACAAAGCTTAGTCCAACAATGATGCCAGAAAAAATAGTATGAAAAAACCTGCACAAAGAATCAGCATACCAGAGGCTGAACTACAGACTTGTTCTGCAAAAGGCTCTGGAATCAAGCATGCAGAAACGTGTCAATCTCCAAAATAGAAGATTTTCAGACAAAAGGTTAATTTGGATGGCCAATATTTACCTCTTCAATTTGCATGGCACGTCGTGCCACATCAATTGGAAAAACCACATCTGTCTTAGTTAATACTATCTGATATTTAGTTTTTGATCTGCAAATCGATATCACCCATTGAATAAATTTAGGTATCACAAAACCGATTTTGAGTTGATATGATCAGAATATAAGTCATACTTATATTTGTAAGTAGTAACTTGCCCAAGGAAAAAAGAAATTAACAACAAAGATGTGTAGCACCAGTTGTCTTGTCTATGTATGGCGTACCTTTCCATTAATTCAATTAGCTCATAATCTCTTGGTTTCATACCCCATTTTGTATCAATCAGAAGGCATACTCGTTTGAGACCAACTCTTGTGGAAACATACTCCTTCACCTACAGTTAGAGGTTTCCAAGAAACACAATTGATCAGTGCTTGATATAACAACGAATCCTAAAATCCACTCCATGAACATGTCAACAACAAAATACAAGGAAATGCTAACACCTATGATCACATATACTATCCCAGAGCAAAGACCGAAAAGATACATAAAAAGCACATCTATGTAGCTAGAGCAAAGTTAAACATATAAAAGGATGTGTGGCAACAAAACAATGTGAAGCTTTTGTAGAACAACTGGTAACCAAAGTCTTATCTGGCGTCTACTAAATGGGTCAATTGACAATAGAAATTAATATAGTGTTTTTGTAATCAAAACAGAAATTAAGATTTTAATATATTCATTATTGACTGAGAATTGATAGGTTTTCAAGTTATGGGTGACTAGAGTGATAGGAAGATAGGTGAAAACAGGAGATACATAGTGAAATGAGAAAAGAAGGGTTCTTATTATCCAGATGAACAGAAAATAAACTTGAGACAGAATTCTCTTACAAGTGGTGTTCCCTTTTTCACTGAGAATGATCAGTTTGTATTATTTTCTCCAAGATAGCTTTCTTCACAATCTTTCCCTATTCAAACTCCAAAAGGAACCTTATGCAATTGGCTCATTAACCATCTATTAACTCCAAATAAACCCAATTGTAGCTGATGCATTAAACTCCTACTAAAACTTACGTAACTTACTCATGACACATTAACCACATATTATTACTGTTTATTCCTCCAATAATAAACCCTCCAAACCTTATTCTCCTCATTAATTATTGGCATAGGCTCATGCGAAACAGACCCCTATATCACCCAATTTTTGTACAAACAGTTGAATTTTTTTTTTTTTTAATTAGTGATGAAAGAAAGAAATCTTAGCTTAGTGTATAACATGATTTCTATGTCAAATTTTGAACAGTGAACCTCTGATGTCTGACATAAACATCATACCAAGTTTTAAAGACTTAACCAGTGCCAAAGTTCATATCATCATGTTTTGATATTATGTCAAAGAGGATTGCTTATTCGCCAGTGTTTTTGTAATTAAATCTGTCTTAATGAATTTCATTATTTATCACAAAAAAACATTCCAACATGATTTAAATCATCCACATGGCAGCCTTTAAGTGTATAAGCGGAGGCTTCATGCAAGAAATTGAGTTCCAGGAGACAATTTAATTAGTTAGTGAACACAAAATCAATTAGCAAAATTATTTTTGTCCCAATAGATTAATAAAACATTCCAAAAACTGAATCAGCATCCGTCCATTCCCTAAGGCCACTTTCTTGCTCTGCTAGTAATAGTTATGAATTGGTCTAGTGATTACACTATGCACATAACTTGAAGCATGGGAATACTAGTACCTATGGTATGATAATAATATAGAGGCTAAACCAAACTTTTAAGAAACAACCTGATCGCTGAGAGATTAAATATGATTTGCATACTTACAAGCTCCTCCCAAGCTTCTTTCACTTCTTCTTTGGCATAAGCAAATCCGTAGCCTGGCAAATCAACTAAGCTAAGCTTTGTTCCCAGCTTGAAGAAGTTAATTGTCTGCACAAAATCCATTATTTGTTACAAAAGAACATTTCATTTATCAACACTTTATCTTTTAAATTTCAACGTGTCAATTTTTAAGAATTTAAGATACCTGTGTAAGGCCAGGCTTGTCTGATGTCCGCACAACCCCCCATTGTCTAGTGAGTGCATTAAGAAGAGATGACTTCCCAACATTTGACCTTCCTGATAACCAGAACACAAGCAGAAATATCATTTCCACTTGTTTCTCGTAGCAAGTACATTAATGTCTACCATGGATTCTACTTTCTACGCCACATAATTTACTTCATTATCTGCGCCCTTAAGTAAGAGACAAAAATCACCCTAAACCTTTCAGCTAAAAGTTTGTTTGAATTTCCATTGCTGGAATTGATGGTACTTAATGGACTTGCGAAATAGTAGATTCTTGTATCACATGATAAAATGCATTTAGTGATCATGGATATTAGTGTCTAGGAAGATACACTCAATTAATATTAGCCTAGGAAATACTCTCCAATCCATTATGTCTATTGAGAGCCTATATACATGGATGATGGAACCAGAAATAAGATAAAAAGTATCAACATAACACTTTGACCTAAAAACTGAAATAATCCCATAATATAATTAAAATAAACCAACAAAACAAAGGGATGAAGAAAGAGATCAAATGAAAGTGTCTTAAAAGTGTACCAGCAAATGCAATCTCTGGAAGATTAGGAGGTGGAAATGATGATGAGACCTTTGCAGCAGCAAAAAATTCCAATTTATTCCTAAATATCTGTCACAGTTAATCAAAACAGAATGTCAACATTTTCAGGGGTGAGGCAACAATAATTAAAATGAATAGCATTGCTTATTCTATAAGTATATATTGTTGTTTTTTATTGCATTAAAGGACATACATTTTCTTCAATTTTCTCTCTTTCCAAACTGGTAGAGAAGGGAATATTATCTAAGGGTGCAGAAAGATCTATATTGTAGCCTGCCCTTCTTATGTCAATCATGCGTCTCCTGCCCAACAGCTGTGAATAATAACAGTAGTACAAGAAATCAAAATACCTTCACATTGATAGTGGAACAACAGAATCAACACAACAATCAAAAGCCCCTGCTCATACAAATTACATTTTTTTCTACAAAAGAAAGTAGTGAAGGGCTAGGTTGTATTGCACGGAACTGAGCAATCTTGGACATTTTAGGCTCTTCCTCAGACTCCTTTTTCTTCTCTTCTTTACTTCCTGAAAATAACTTAGGGAATGAACACCTTTCGTTATCCAGAATTAAAAACACATTAATCACTAATTATAAAATCATACAATCACCTCATCCAATTACCAGTATGATCTCAGAATATATCTTTGAGTTCCCAAGGCATATATTATCATAACAACAAATAAAGAATTATCAAAATAACTATGATAATGCAAAGAAAGGAAGATAAGTTACATACCATTAATATCAATGTGATCATCTAATCTCTTGTTTGAAACATCATATGGGTCAATCTTTATTACCCTTTTCTTCTTCCTTGGACGATCATCTAGTGTCTCAGCATCATCATCCAATGTTGCTTTATCTCTAGCCTTTTTCTTAGCAAAACTCAAAGGAGACACAACCTCTTGGATTTTCCCCTTCCTCAATTCAGATGTCTTTCCTCTATTTTTCTTCACTAAACCACTTCCTTGATCATCTATCCCAACACATTCCACTCTCCCCACATCCTTTGCCTTGGATTTTGGTTTAGCAGTAGCTAACACAACATTTTCCCTCTTTTCCTTCCCACTGTGAGCCGAATGCTTCACTTTTGACCCAGCATTCCTAGACTTTCCGGTAACCCACATTGTCCGGTGGCTGGTGTTCCCTTCAACAGGTTCACTTTTCACCTTCTTCTCTCTTTTCGTAAACAAGGTTTTCTTCTTGGATGTTGCCACACCATTCCCTGACTTCACATTTTCATCCATTCCCTCCTTGGCATATACTCTCTTCTTCTTCCCACAAGAATCCAAAGTTCTCAACTTTCTTCTCTCACCACCTTCTTCACCTGACTTCATCCCTTGAAATTTGACCCTTTTCTTCAACTGCCCCTCAGACACATTTTCTCTATCATAAACTCCATTTTTTTCAAAAGAAAATTCACCCTTCTTACTTCTCATAGAGCCCCTTGAAGTACTTACAACAAGTTTAGCCTTTTTCTTTAGCTTCTGCCTTGAAATAGCTTCAGCAGGCATTTTGCTCAATGCCACTCTTTTTCTTATACTTATTCAACAAATATAACAATTTCAAAACAGCATAGAAGTAAGAACACCCCACATGATTTTTGTGTTCAACAAAGCAAATAAAAGGGGCAGAACTACCTTTGAATCTTAAACAGTTTGATTTCTCTCAAAAGAAAGGATCGTGAAGAAGGAAAAAACAACTTAGGCAAAGGATTATGTTCCAAAGTTACGAACTTTCATTGAAAATTTGAGAAGTAACTTTTCATGCTGTGGAGGCGGTGATCCCATGACATGGGAAGGAAACACAGGTAAAAGGGCGTGAGTTGCAACACCAATATGGGACTATTAGACTTTTTGAGATCGACAAAAACAAACATTTTGGGCCATTTAACACTTCTCATCTTTCAACTCTCCTATTTGGGCCTTTGTTTGGGCTGTTCCTCGTTGTGTTTCGGGCTTCAGATTCCATCTTGAATCTTCTATTAACGACAAAAATAAAAAAAATGAAAGTATAAAAGTTGAATTGTGCTTCATGATTGCAGAATCATGTGAAAATATGCGCATTGAAATATTTGCAAGATTAGACGAGTTGTAACTAGTTTTTTAAATTGGTTAAAGAAATAATAGAAAAAGTAGTATTGATTAAAAAAAGTATTTTTTTGGGTATTTAGAGGGTATTTTTTAATTTAAGAACTAATAAATAAAAAAAAGAAAATAATAGATACTGTCAATATCAACAATAAATATTATGTTTTTATGTAAGAATAAATTGAAGGGATAGTGCTTTAAAATTGATTGAGAATTTATGGAATTAAATTGATATGGTGTATTATATCATACCATGTTTTCATAGAATTTGTCTTTGTAAAAAGTAGTTGAAAATAAATTAAAAAATTAAATTAGTAGCCATTGATACTTACTCGTTAGGAATTAGAAAAGTTCATGAAACATTCACAATTGAAGTAGTCCTTTTAATGAAAAACCTTTTTTAATCTAAATTAAGCATGCAAAAAGTAAACAATTTTTTTTAATCTAAATCGTAGATAGTATTCACAAAAATAATATTTTTCAAATCTCTATATTCACAGTTGGAGTATTTCTTTTAATGGGATTTTTTTTCATGCCCTAGATTTGAATTTCAGGCCTTATTTTAAAAAAACTAAAATATATATTACATAAACTAATTATCCATATAAATTAATTCATATTAACGGTTGATAACTGATTCCTTAAAAAATAAAATAATTTAGAGATTTTTTTGTCAATTAGTCTTAACTGTAAACATTTAATAAATAACATTGATGTTTCATTTTATGTTTGAATAAAATCAATTTCAAACTGTACACTATTATTTAAAAGAGGGATGAAAGTTGTGGTTCGAATTTGCTGATTCAATAATTAAAAGAATATTCTTTGTTGAAACCACAATAAGGTCAATTTTGACATAATGCATATCAGTTTGTTGAAAAGGGCTTGATATGATCCATTATTTATTTGTTCACTAAATCATTGCTTAGAAAAGTAAAGTATTATTCACTATCCTAATATCCTGTTTATTGAAAATTAAAAAGGAAAATGAAAAAGGCGAAAACAGAGATACATAGGAAACAAAATTCTATGGGCCAAGGGGGAAACATAGTCCTCACCCCAACCCAGTAAAATTACAAATTTCCTTCAATTAGTAATATAGACATTATGTTTTGTTTTATAAATAATAAAAAAGAGTAAATAAATTTGATTCCCAGCACCAATATCTCTGTCCCATCCTCTCAAAAAATAAAAATAAAAACTCCTTTTTATTTAATAATATACAAAACAGAAAATAAAAAATATTACGTAATCACTACCTTCTAACTGGATCTCTTTCTTCCATCCAGTTCCTTTTTAGGCAGCAAGAATATTTAAATGCTTTTGCTCTTTTTTTAAAAAATATTTGTACAATTTGACTATTATTAAGTATCAAATTTTGTACTTAACCCAAATTTTTAATTTGAAAAAATGGAGAGAATTTCATTTGAATTCAGTCACCGGAAACTTGCTACTCCGGTGATTCTTGGTTACTATTCGAAGTCGTTGCATCCCCCATTAACAAAGGCTTAAGCTTGTTGTCCCATACGTTCGCAAAAGCCACGGCGTCGCCGCCCCACTTTCTAACCTCAACCACCGCCAGCTCTGCCGTTAACCGGTAAACTTCAATCCCAATTCCAAAATTCCCATTCATCCCTTCCAACTCCACCCCGCATTCCTTCTTCCACCTCAACGCCATCCCCGCCGCCGTCCCCACCTCCTCCGCCGCCTCCACAATCTTCTCCGGCAACTCCCGAGACACCACCCATTCTTCCCCACCCGATTGCCCGAACAACCCGGACAAATCCAAACCCGACGAAAAAGATATAATATCAAACGCATTCAACTCCATCACCCTCTTCGGCCCAGACCCGAAACCCGACCCGGATCCAGACCCATGATCCTCCTCATGAAACTTAATCTCCTTATACCCCTTCTTAAACCACGGGTCCCGGGTCATCCCATCAACTGTAATCCGGGTTTCCGGGTTAGTATCAAGCAACTTAGACAAAAACCGCCGGAGCTCCGGCGACATCCACCGTGGACACCGGAATTCACCCTTATAAATTTTCCGGTACATAACCATCAAATTCGGGTCATTAAAGGGTAAATAACCCGCAGCAAGAACAAACAAAACGACACCGCATGACCAAACATCAACCTTGGCTCCATCATATCCTTTCTTCGCTAAAATCTCAGGTGCCACGTAAGCGGGTGTTCCACAAAGTGTATGGAGCAAACCATCGGGTCGGATCTGATCCCTAACCGCACTTAAGCCGAAATCCGACACTTTCAAATCACCATTCTCGTCGAGGAGAAGATTCTCCGGCTTGAGATCACGGTGGAAAATGCCGCGTGAGTGGCAGTACCCGACGGCAGAGATTAACTGGTGAAAATACCGGCGACTCAGGTCCTCCGCGAATCGACCCTTTGAGATTTTCGCGAAGAGTTCGCCACCGCGAACGAAGTCCATGATGAAGTAGATCTTGGTCTTCGTTGCGAGGACCTCGTGGAGGCCCACGATGTGAGGGTGGTGGAGACGACTCATGATGCTGATTTCGCGTTTCACATTTCCGGCGAGGCCTGTTCCGGTGAGTTTCTTCTTGTTGATGATCTTCACCGCCACGCTCTGACCCGTTTGCACGTTGCGCGCGTAGTACACCTTCGCGAATGCACCGCAACCGAGGACTCTGCCGAGTTCGTATTTTCCGAACAGGGCGGTTTCCTCCGCCATTTGTTCGATCTCCGGCATCGTTGCACCGTCGTCACCAGAGACCGAACCCTATTTTTGATGCGGCGAAGAGTTAACTCGGAATCGAAATTGCGGATGGAATTTCACGAATTGGAGGGGCGAATTGAAATGGTTGGCTTGCAAATTTTGATTTTGGTGTTCAGAGGGAAATGGGGTGGCTACGTTTTTGTGGGAGAAAAAAATGAGTGTTTTTTAGTTTTTTGTTTGTAAGGTACGGCATCTTTGGAGGTAGAGAGAGAAAGAGAATATTGTGAGGTCTTGTGGGACACACGTGCATGTTGGTGAAGGTAAATGATGAAATGAGATTTTGCAACGTGTCACTTTGTGTTTTGTTTTCTTTCTTGTTTTTTATTTCATTAATTAAAGGCAATTGGTGTTTTCTGTTGCGTAAAACGTTGAAACGGTGAATGATTTGGTTCTGCTAAGCTGATTTATCGTTGCTGCGGTTCCTTAGTCCTTGTAATTTATGCTAAAAGTGAACATTTTCTTTCTCACTAAGGAGTTTTAGATTTGTAGTCATCAAAACTAGAAAGCATCTAAGTTAGTAGTATAAGTGTTAAATTAAAATGTCATTATATATTATAAAGAACGGAATTGACAGAAGTGATGAAAATACAGCAAACTTGTGACAACATTGGCTTCTAGTCCCCAACATGGAAACATAGGTTGGAGATGAAAATATTTTATGCATAAAGGACTAAATATATGGATAAAAATTATTTTAGTGGTTGAAACAATGATTAATCTCATGGAATTTTCTCATTAGATATCCCTTGCTAGACTCGAATGTATACTACAAGAAATATAGTTTTCGGTGACTAAAATTTAGTAACAAAGGTAAAATTTCTCATTATTATATTTTATTATTAATATTTTTTATAATAGTGATTAAATTATAAGTTATTACTATAAATTTATATATAATGATAATATTAAATATCTTATTTTACTTAGTATGTCATTCATAATATTCTCATTTGCTTTAAAAGTCATACTTTTTGCTCTTTTGATGTTAATCCAATGATACATTGGAGTTGTACACCTATCAATATCTAAGTATATTATTGCACCTTAATCATATAAAACATTAAGTGTTATGACTTCAATATATAAATTAAGAGAGTTCAAATCATCAGTCAATTAAATAATAAAGTTTTGTAACTTAAATATTACATTAAACATTTTATTTTTCTTGTTATAAGACTAGTGGCACTGTATATCATGCGTAGCAATTATCGTTGGTCCTTGAAGTAATTAAAGAGTTGAATATTCTTTGCTGTTTTCATATTTCTTACGTTCTCTTAAGACTCTGAAACAAAAAATGAAATGGGAAATATCAAAATAGACGATTCACAATATCCCATGAATTTGAGCCACAAATTGAAGAGCAATCTCGAATAAATGTAGGGTGGGTTCTATGATGTAACGTCTCCATTGGAGAACCATGGGTTAGATAGAGCTAAGATACCGGAAATATCTCTCCGTCCATTATTTTAAAATAGAAACTACGTAATTGCATGATGTAATGCAACATTTTCACCCTTCAAAAATACATACCTTAAAACAAAAGAATTTCCTCCAAAATGTAAAAACACAATTTCTCATTTTTATATTGCACTGAGCCTCACTCGAGAGTAAGTCACTCTCTTTCAGTTGCTTAAAGGAGTATCCAATAAATGCTTAGCTCAGTAACTCATTAGCAATAGTTTCCTGTAGGGCTATTCCACTCTTTCCCTCTGGGGGAGCTACCAAAAAGTGGTAAGTATTCGCTCTTTCCCCTCACCCGAGGGTAAGTAGCTTCCCTTAGTTGAAATTACGTATGTAGTTATTAAACTTGGTTCAAGTTAATAGTTTGAAAAGTTTCGTTATTTGAAATATTTTTATAAGATAATCTCTATTATTAAGGATAACAAAATGTTGACTTTTCAAAAATTAAGCACTAGAATAAAAAAAAATAATCAAAGAATTAAAATCAAAATCTTATGAAAAAGTAGACATAAAAATATATTTAACCAAACCTAAATTAATGTAAATCAAATTAGGTAAATTTATTTAATACATAGTAAAGTTCTGTCAATATTTATTTTATGTTTATAGAATTCAATTTAAAATTTTAATAAAAAAAAAATCTTATTAGAGGTTCTGTTAGTCTGAGGTTGACTCTCCTTATGGATTGTTTAAAAAGAGAGATTTTAGAGGAGAGAAAAAAATCAAAATTTAAAATAAATATATTACTAAAAGTTCATATAAAATTAGGTGTCGGTGTCATGGTTTTATTATATAATAATACCTATTTATATAGTAAAATGTTGAAGGGATTACGGATGATATCTTCTTACCAATAATTTAAAATTCCTCCTACAATTATCAACAGTTGGAAATCCTAATTAAGGTCAAATGTAATATATACCAATCAATTCAAGAAGAATTTGATTATTATATACATGATATTTATTAAGATGTTTTTAACTTGGTTAATAATAAAGTTAAAATACATTTTATAAAATTTAAATAAATTTTCTTTCATGAATTAAATTTTGAGAATGACATACATCGATCCAAATATTAATTTTTTAATAATATCATAGTTGCCTTTAAATGATCCTTCAATTTGTGATGCCAAGCTAGACACGTAATTGGAAGGGAGAATTAAAATATGCAGTGTCTTATACGTAATGTTACTTAAACAAAAGGTGGAAGTGATAATGGGCAACACAATCCCATTGTTTTGTCTCATCTTTAATATTGTGAGCATGGGTGATGATTGAACTAAGTGTATATTTATATTCACCCTTGAATAATTATAAATTTATATTTATTTTAACATTTTTAATTGTATTTTTTTTTATGTTGAATTCATATTTTATTTTTTTAAAATTTACTTGCAACATTTAATAAGAAATATTTTGCATGACCATAGCCATGCATGTGGGTGCATGTTACGTTTAAAAAACAATGGATGGTTCACATGCAATTTTGCTAAGCAAAAGCACTTAGTTAAAGCACAAACCTCATAAGTCGACAAACAAAATTTAATTTCATGGAATAATGGGAGGCCAAGATATCCACATCACCTTGCTTATATAATTCATATTATGTTTAAATTATTACGTATTTATATATATTTTTAATGTTATTAGTTATAATTTATATGATAAATTTATGTTTATAAGTATTCAACATATTTTTAAAAATATATTTCATATTTTTATTTTTTAGAAGCAAGAAATACTCGAAAAGAGAGAAATATAAATAAATAAAGTAAAAGATATCACAAATGATATAATATAATAAAAAGTAGGTAAAATTGTTGTACAAGATACAGGGGTGAATCTAATTTTCATTTTATACCTAAAATTTAAAATTTTAGGTGAGAATGAATTGAAAAAAAAATTATATTAAATTTAAAAAAGTTTTATATCAACCTATTTTTGGAATTAAATATATTAAAAAATTTCTTAATAAAAACAATATTATATTATAAATATTGAATTATTAATTTTTATATTATAAATAAGAGTTTATTATTTTAAAAAATAAAATATTAATTAAATTAATTGAAAACGTGAATTACACTTTCTTGTACTGCAATAATTTTACTTTTTATACACATTTTTCTTAATTAAATTTTATAGATTAAAATTGTTACTTATTTTTTTAATTTAAAATTTACTTTTAAAAATTTTATCTCATAAATTTATAATTATTGATATATATATATATATTAATTATTTAAATTTAATTAAAATTAATTTTAGCACTATATAATACAATTATTATTTTAAAATTAATTATATTTTTATTTAATTTTACTAAATTTTTATCATTTTGATACATACCATTCATAGAAATAAAGTTAAGTTAAAATAAATTTTTAAAAGATTTATTATTTAAAATGATTTTACTATATATAAAATTATTTACAGAATATAAATTTTGTTCTTTAATATATATATATTCTAAAAATAAAATACCAGTGCATTAGATGATTAAGTATATATAAAAAGTTTGATTTGTTTCCAACTACATACTTATTTATATAATATTATTAACGTTACTAATAACTATTTTGCTGAAAACCTTTTTCAAACATCTTAAACTCTATCCTTAAATGATAATAAACTATTCTATTTTAACGCTTCGATTCCGCATCTATATATTTAAAAATGTGTAATTTTTTGTAACTTTGCATATTTAGTGATTTATTTTTGTCGAAAATTAATCACTATTGTTTATTTATTTATTTTTAGTCATTAATCACTATTTTTTTTTCGTCAAACGCTAATCACTATTGTTAAACGCACGTTAGTTTCAATTCATAAGGGTTAGCACGGCTTTGAAATCTACTCTTCAGTGCACTGGTGAAGTATTACGAAAATACATATGCTGAACACTACACTCTCAATCGCATGTAGCTTAAATCAAATTTAAAATATGCTTTCTTTTATTTTTAAAATGCTTTTTTTTTCCAGAGCTGTGACCCATTTAAAATGCAAGAGAACAGTTTTGAGTCAATTCTCGAAGTCAATTTTAGCATTCTAGTGCAATTATTTTTTCAAGAAGGATAGTGACCTTCTCTTCCTAAGAGGAATTTATGTGAACTTAACTATTTTATGTTAAGTTTTAAAAAATGATCATTATTCAATAACTACGCACAACTTAAATTTTAATACCAAAAAAATATAAATATGGTAGTCCTTTTGAATAAATAACAAGTTTTCTTTTTAAAGTGTTGAGTGCAATTCTCCCCAAGTTTATTATCTCACCATATATGTTTACCTTTTCTGAGCACATGAACTCCTTTATATCCATAATTGAACTGAACTATTGAAGCATCTCTTTCCTGTGGTTGAGCATGAGGTCCTACTTCACTAACATTTGACCTTTCCAAATATTGAGATGATGACGATTCACTTCAGTTGCTTTTGGAATCATTATTTGGTCTCTTCTTTTGAAGTTTGAGTTGTTTTATTGTTTGTTTATTTAAAAAGCTATAAAAAATGCCTACTAGTACTACCTGCCTCCTTTTTCCTTTTTAAATTTATTTATGAATTGGTTTTCTTTAATTGATCATTGTAGTCTATTTAGGCAATATAAGATTTTATGACTAACTTTACTTATTAAAAGTGATGAGAAGGCAATATAAGACTGATTGATATTCGCAAGATAGAAACATACATATACAAGAAAACATTGCACTATAATAT